CAGGACAGGAGAGGGTAAGGTGAGAGCTGCCCTGCAGGGGCCAAGTACTGCTCTCATGAAAGACAAGCAGGATCTGCACTTCCGGACATGTGGGTCACCCAGTGAACGACACGGTTCAACGTGAAGGGTGGCTGCTGGTAACTGAGACAATAAGCGTGGTTCCGTCCAGCACCAGTGAAAGGAGGTTCCACACGGATCTGAAGTATTTTGTTTTTCTGCAACCCTTCAGTTTAAAAAATCTCTCTGATGTTAAAGGTGAAGCACAGGCATATTAGCAGAAAGAACTTACTGCCCGCACATGATTGCTCTCCATGGAGGAAAAGGGAGAAGACATCAGTGTGCTTTATCTCAAGCGCCGTAATCATTCCTCCTACTCGCCACTTATCATTGCTTTGTGTAGCTATACAACCTTCCATAAATTGCTGGATTCATCTGCATAACAAAACTTTCTAAAATGCCTCAAATCAAAGCAATCTTGCTTCTATTATGTACCAATCTGACATACTTCATTGTCCTCTGATTTTTCCTAAGCAAACACTAAAAGGTGAGTACAGGGAAAGTGGATGCTTCACATTTGCTCCAGTTTTAAATCAGCACTTCAATCCATTTTCTTCTCTATCATGAAACTTAAAACATAAAAACACATGCTGCTACCATATCTACTGTTTTGAATTTCCCAGCATGTCAAATTCTCTTGTACTTCAGGAAAGGAAAATAATAGACCCTGGCCACCTACTAAGTCTGAGGAACTATCAAAGTCCTTTCGCATCTCATGTGACTTCTATAACTTACATGGGAGGGGGGTAGTTCCAGTCCTGTTTTTACAGAGGAGGAAATGAATTGTCTTATCTTCAGCTTAGATGGAACACATGGCCCTGTCATCCTCGGAAGACCCGTTGAAATTCAGAATGCTGTGGGACTTCCCTGGTGGTCCAGTGGTTAAGAATCTGCCTTTTGAAGCAGGCGGTGTGGGTTCAATCCCTGGTCCGGGGCTAAGATCCCACATGCCTCATCACCAAAAAGCCAGAACATAAACAACAGAAGCAATACTGTAACAAATTCAAGAGACTTCTAAAAGAAAATTAAAAAAAAAATTCAGAACACTTGTGCCAAGCATGACGCAGCTGTCCTTTATAGCAGAGTGCAGGCACCTCTTCCTTTTTAATCCCACTACTTAGAGATTGGCCAAAATAAGATACGTGTTCATTTCCTTCCTCCTTCTAAGAACTGAGGAAAATCGAAAATAACCTTTCCACAAAATCCTTCATAAAAGGCTATCTATTAATACAAGAGAGCTCAAGGTGTCTTGCAGAAACAGATGGCTGTTAATAAAACATAACACTAAAGTCTGATTATGTGCTTTCTGTCGTGCAATAAAAAGTATAAGCAGAGAGTATTTTTAGCTCCTTCCGGGCCTAAAAGGATTTGACCAAAGGATCTTCTCTAAGTCTGGTTTTCTATGCATTGATGAAAACTGACCAAGGTCATAAAAGAAGGTAAACCATTTCCTGAGCAGAGAGCCCGCAACATAGAGGAAGAGCACGCTACACACAGCCTGTCATTAGCAGTGGTCTCATCCCAATTTCCATCGTTCAGCAATCTTAGGACTTTCATTCTGAGTCCAAAAAAGAAGGGAGAAACACACAAGGTGCCCAGGAAAGGAAAGAGACAAATGGTACCCTGCGAAGTCCTGCCGGGACATTTCCCTGGACAAATTGGGCTTAGAAAGTGCCCTGTACTACACTCCATCTCTGCAATCTGCTCAAGCACCAACTGTCTTGGGATCTTCTCAATAGCTGACTCGGTAAAGCTTCCCCAAAAGACACACCTAACACAGTCAGATGCTAATTTAAAGTAATGCAGAAATAGGCTGGGTTTATCTCCACTCAAGGTCTACTTTTTAAACATAAACCTCATGAGAGCAAAGCAAAATATTATTTACACGTGTAAGTCGTCTCATGTCCATCCAAATTCTTATTAGGGCTATGCGTGTTTGGTTAAGCTTACATTGAGAAAAGCCAGGTGCCAAAAAGAAGAAGGCTGAGCACCAAAGAATTGATGCTTTCAAACTGCAGTGCTGGAGAAGACTCTTGAGAGTCCCTTGGACAGCAAGGAGATCAAACCAGTCATCCCTAAAGGAAATCAACCCTGAATACTCACTGGAAGGACTGAAACTAAAGCTGAAGCTCCAATACTTTGGCCACTTGATGCAAAGAGCCGAGTCATTGGAAAAGACTGATGCAAGGAAAGACTGAAGACAGGAGGAAGAGTGTGACAGAGGATGAGATGGTTGGATGGCATCACTGATTCAGTGGACATGAGTTTGAGCAAACTCTGGGAGGTAACGACAGGAAAGCCAGGCATGCTGTGCTCCATGGGGTTGCGAACAGTCCAACACGACTTAGTGACTGAATAACAACAAAAACAAATAAACCCTCAGAAAAATTTAGATTCTTCTAAAATCAACCGCTTAACACTGATAGCAATTGTTGGACAGCTTTTTACAAGAGCAATCTTGAAGAAAAGTAACAAAATCAAGGTTTAATATCATAAATGAAACCTGCATTTAAGTAAGAATGAGGTCAATATTGGTTTCCTAGGTGGTGCAGTGGTAAAGAATGTACATGCTGATGCAGGGGATGCGTGTTTGATCCCTGGGTCGGGAAGATCCACTGGAGGAGAAAATGGAACCCCACTCTAGTATTCTTGCCTGGGAAATCCTATGGACAGAGAAGCCTGGTGGGCTACAGTTGAAGGGGTCACAGAGAAGTGGACATCTGAGCAACTGAACATGCATCCACTCACAACATCAAAAGCAACTGCTTTTCCCACTTTCTTAACAGGTTCAGAATGGGTGGCTATACTTAACCAAGCTAGTCCAATATAGAATAAAAATAGTCCTTATTTTGAACTTTAAATCCTGCTAGGATCTTTTTCCTTTCAAAGATAAAGAAACAATTCTTCCTTCACAGATAGGGAAAAATAGAGAAAAAAATCAAGTTGGGCAAGAATTTTCAGTGCAATATCACAGGAAGATTCCTAAATCTCAACTATTTCTAGTATGCATCTAGGTTTTAGCAAAAAAATAATCCAAATGGACACCAGCCCCATTTTAAAGTTATGTGTTTACTGCCCAGTTCTGAGTAATATCTTTGCACATAATTAGCAATACTAAATTGATCTAGAAATATATAAAGTCTTATTTAAACTTTTAAAGGGCTTCCCTTGTGGCTCAGCTGGTAAAGAATCCTCCTGCAATGCAGGAGACCTGGGTTCGATCCTTGGGTTGGGAAGATCCCCTGGAGAAGGGAACACCTACCCACTACAGTATTCTGGTCTGGAGAATTCCGTGGACTTTACAGTCCACGAGGTTGCAAAGAGTCAGACATGACTAAGCAACTTTCACTTCACTTAAACTTATAAACCAAAGCCTACTTTGACTGCTCTTCATTTTGGCCAAACAGATAACTGATAAACAAGAGACAGCTTCTATCTACCCCCATTTGCAACCATCACCTGACTTTATTAGGAGCTGATTTTAGTGCAAAAGCAGGATTGTTGTTTTAAATATTTAAATGGGCGTAAACATCTCCCCAGTTGCAAAATACTGCTGAATGACAAACTTAACATCACATGCATAAAAATGCCAGAAAGGCCACAATCCAAATGTATTTAGTGTCACTCACAGGTTCCATGGTTGATGCCATAAGCGGGCCTAAGATTTACAAAGATAAACACTGCCCCCAATTTAGAATTAAGGGGTTAGAAGATCCCATTGTGAACTGGATAGATAGCAAGAACTCAACTGGTGGCAGAACTAATTTTTCATGCAGAAAAATTCAACTTAATTTTCAATATACACTACATTGTTACCCAGTCCTCTTTGAAAGATTTTTTTTGAAGTGAAAGATGTTTTTGAAAAGTCAAATACATTTACCTCTGAACTTCCACAGAAAAGAACGAAGATTTAAAAAGGAAGAAGCCACAGGATGACAGAATCCACTAACTCACACTACAAAAATTCCAAACCTGTAGGAATCCAGACGTTTCGAATTAACTTCTGACTCTGCAGCATGGCACCTATGAACAAGCACTGTGATACCAGAATTTATAAACTCCGGAGGAGACGGCATTCTTACTTGGGAAAGCATTGATGGACATGTAAAATGCCGCATACAATGTAAGGAAATGATGTCACCAAGCCGACCCTGAAATGGCTCTCTCAGAAGTGGTGAGTGATGTGGGCTGCCCACTTCTGTCTGGCTCACCTAAACCTCCCAGAACCAGCCCTGCGAAGAGAGCCGGGGTAGAGACGAAGGTTTGGGGCCCTGGCACAAAGCCAGGCTGTAGCCGGCTTGATGATCACATTCACAACTTTAGTCTCAACTGTGCCAAGAAAGCACCAGCCTCACTTTGAAGTGACAATCTAGAGATTCTTTGGAAATGCTCTGAAAGCAGACGTTTCCCTACAATCACACTGACTTCCTCCGACGGTGAAGATGCAACTTCACCAGATCCATTCAGATGAGGGCTTGGGATGCAATGACCATCAAAACTGCTCCACAGGTTATCTTAGAAGTCATTTGTGGAACCAACATCTTCATAGAAAGGGCGTTATTTAGTTAGGTAATAATGTAAGCATGAAGAATAATCTTACTTGTAAAGCCTGTTGGGGTTAGTTAGGTCTGACTCTGTACACAGACACATACACAGTCTCCCTCGTGGGTCAGTTAAACTCTGAAGCCACCAGTCCTTTGTCTTGGAAGAGACGTGCTACCTTTCATAATGTTTTCTTCCTTCTTTTTTTTAGCCAATATATTGAATACATTCTTTTTGAAAAGGTCAACTTCTATTTTTCAAAAAACATCTGAGTCACCAGAGATGAGAAATATCTTACCTAAAAATGCCCAAGAGCTCCCAGTCACCCCTCACCAACATCCCAGATACTGGGCTTTTCCACCAAGAGAGGATGCTGGGGCCCTGGGACTCTGATTACTTACTTGTTAAAAAAAGGTTCGATGAGTTTTGATCTAGCAGATACATGACTCTTTGGAGGACTAAGAAAAGAACCTAATGAAGAAAAGAAACAGAATATCACAAACAGTCAAGGAGACAAAGCCTGAAAAAAATATCTTGAAAAAAAAAAAAAAGAAAAAAATATCTTGAAATCAACAGTACTGTTCCGCAAGGGTAAAATAAGTGCTCATGTGGACCAAGTACCACAACTCCAGGTAAGCATTTGATGGTTCTTCCTGCACACTCCCCATCCCCCACCCAGCCCCCTCCCCCTCCTCCCTCAAAACCCTCCCACTTTCTATTGGGTGAGTGGATCCCAGGGAAAGGGTAAACAGGGAAGATTCCCCTCGGGACCATGGTGTGTTGACAGAGACAGGTACAGTGTGTACCTAGGTAGTTGGCCATGGAGATGAAACACAGTCCTGTGATATAAGCATCATAGCCTGCCTCGTGGAGCTGTTCAGAAGCCGTGTCATAACTTGGAAAGCCTTCTGCACTTTCTAAAGAGAAAAAAGAAAACACAGTCTTCCCAAGGTCATCACAAATCATGAAGACTGGTAAGCATGCTGCCCTGCCAAACCCAGATGTCTGTGCAGCAGAAACACCCTAAATAAGCAGAAAGCAAGCTATCTCCTTCTTAATTCTCTCCACACAAGACCTTGAGATAACAGAGTCACTGAAAATGAGGGCTTTGGTCTAAACTAGAGAAGTGTCTCGGTTACACTATCAAAGACTCAGCTGCAGGCCTGCCAACTGCATGCTGTTGGGTGCTATTTACAGCCATGCATAGCTCACTCTTGTGACCATGACTCCTCCTCTGATTGGGACGCAAGGGGTATTTCAGAGCAGTTGTCCCCAATCTTTCTGGCGCCAGGGACCAGTTTTGTGAAAGACAAATTTTCCATGGGGGTGAAGGTGGTTTGGGGATTCAGGCATGTTACATTTATTGTGCACTTTATTGTTATTAAATCAGCACCACCCCAGGTCATCAGGCACTAGATCCTGGAGGTTGGGGACCTCAGAGCAATGGCTAAGAGCATGGCCCCCAGCGTCCACTGTCTGAGTTTGAATCTCTGCTCCATCACTTAGCTGCTATGTGATCTTGGACACGTTGCCCCCTCTGGGCCTCTACCATGGCAGAAGGGCAATGACAATCAGAGCTCCCTTGTTAGGCTTTTGTGAGGATCAAATGAGCTCACTTAAGTAAAGCTCTCATGCCACGTTTGGTACATGGTAAACACTCTGTAATTGTTATCTGACAATAGTCCAGCTCACCCTCCCCAAAAGCCAAAGATTCCCATCAAGGTTGGCAGTTCAAGTCAATAGCGCCCTTCACTATGTCTCCGAGCTCACAGACATAAAGATGGAAAGCACGACCAAGTCCAAAAACAGATCAGACTTTGCTGTGATGCTGCCCTTGCAAACATGGCACATCTTCATGGGAGAGACCATTTTATTTTATTTTATTTTTTTTAATTTATTTTTATTAGTTGGAGGCTAATTACTTTACATCATTGTAGTGGTTTTTGTCATACACTGACATGAATTAGCCATGGATTTACATGTATTCCCCATCCCGGTCCCCCCTCCCACCTCCCTCTCCACCCAATCCCTCTGGGTCTTCCCAGTGCACCAGGCCCGAGCACTTGTCTCATGCACCCAACCTGGGCTGGTGATCTGTTTCACCCTAGATAATATACGTGTTTCGATGCTGTTCTCTTGAAACATCCCACCCTCGCCTTCTCCCAGAGTCCACAAGTCTGTTCTATACATCGGAGTCTCTTTTTCTGTTTTGCACATAGGGTTATCGTTACCATCTTTCTAAATTCCATATATATGTGTTAGTATACTGTAATGGTCTTTATCTTTCTGGCTTACTTCACTCTGTATAATGGGCTCGGGAGAGACCATTTTATGACACGCCTCTCTGGTCACAATGATATTCACAGATGCTGAGAGAATGAGGTTTACTGAGCCTGCTTTAGACTAAACTCTCCTTACTGGAATATTATATGGAAATAACAGGATGAAACTGTAATTCAAAAATAGTTCTTTCCTAGAACCATTTTGTAAGTGAGTATCAAAAATGTTACAACAGAATCAAAAGCATGAGTGGAAATTAACACTGAAAAAGCTCTAATTGCTTTTGTATCAATACAATGCTCTTTAAGCAAGAATTCTTTAACCTCAGTAAGTATCGAATATTAGATTTTAAGCTTAAAAAAAAAAAACTCTTTTAACGTGATAGCCAACTAAGTCATGGCCTCTACTCTACCACCAGCTGAAACACTTATTTCCAAAATCAATTATTCCCATTACACTGCCCATTATATTGTCAGAGGAAAGGTCTAGGTTTTCTCCCCCCACCCTTTTCTTAATTCCTTTTTTGGACTATTCCAGAAAGGGAAGCAAATAACTGTCTTCTTGGCTGCTTTAGTACCTTCCATTGTCAATTTCTGAGCCATCAGCCCTGTTGTCAATTTCTCAGGAAGCTGCAGGCTACATCTAATGGGATGTTAATTACAATACCAGCAGCATGACTGAGGCCAACAGGAACCAAGGAAGTAACTAACACCTGGAAGGTTCACCAAATACATGGGTGGAACCATGGCCTGATATGGCAAAGAATTCCACCCCAGAGAAATGTCCCTCCCTTCTCTGGTTTTCCTCAACACTGCTGTCCAGTGCCTAAGCTACCTCTGAAGGAGGCAGAGGTGGAGCCCCCTCCTTCCTCATCTGTAAACCCAGTTCTTGGGCTTTCCTGAGACAAAAAGTATATTTTCACTCTACCCCTGACAATTAATCACCAGCTCTTTGTCTTCGCTTAAACCAAAAGGAAGACCCATAAAGTTTGGGGACAATTCCAAGCATTAAGAAACAAAAAGTCCTGAAGATGCCATTGCTAAACTTCTCAATGAACAGGCTACCCAATCCTACCTGTGCAAAACAGAGGTAGGATTAGAAGACCATCTTTATTCAGAAAACAGCAACTCAACCAAGGGTATGAGCAAGTCAATTCAGCCAAAATTTATAAATGTACAATATATTTAGTTTCTAGAATAGTTTTACCTTTCTTCCATAATAGACATCCATAATTATCATTGAGAGTGTGGAGCTTTCTAGGATCATTTATATTCTTACCAACTTTAGGAGGGTTGAAAGGTGTCTCTTTTAACCGCTTCTCCAATTCTGCAAGGGATGTGTTGTTAATGATATCCTGCAAACCAGGAAACACAGGGAGGAGCTGTCATCATCTCAGAGCAACATCTACTAGAGATTCACGATCAGGACCAAAAAAAAAAAAAAAAAGTATCTAGTACTGCCCCCTTGTGTTCTTTAAAGAAACACAGGAGTCGTTCTTTTCAATGTGAGAGAGAAACCACAAGTTTAATTTCCACCATATGGGAAGTACAGCCATATGAAAAGTTTTTATAGATGTGTTAAGTATCTACAGACCTTTGGCCAGAAAGCTATACTGTTCTGGCATTCATTTCACTCAGCCATATAAAGTCACTTTAGAAAGAAGCAAATGATTATATTTTTACCTGAATTCTCTTAATTAGACTACATACCCAAAATATGTAAAATAAGGAAAAGGAAAGAGTGTATGCATCTGTAATCTATTCAAAAATTCATTATATGTTTTAACATTAAAAATTTACATTCAGAAGGAAAAAACCCTCACAATTCCACTATTCACATTTGATGAACTGCTATTCACATTTGATGTATTTATTTCTAGTCTTTTCCTCAATTTCTTTTTTATCTTGTTTGTCTTTTGGTTAAGGGGAAGGTGTATTGGAAAATGACATTCATTAATTGACCAGAATTCTAAAGCTGTAAGCAGCAATCTGGAAAATTTCAAACTATAATTTATCAATAATAGTTCTGATTTTTAAAATACCTTAAAAGGTTGTGTGCTGGCCATCAATTTTGTATCCAAGAGCCTAAAAACAGAAGAATTTTTTAAAAAGGTAAACAACGGATAGCAATGTTCAAAATGTACTTTACTCCAATGAATAATAGTGGACGGGGGCATTAGGCACATCAGTCATCTGCATCTCCACTACGTCAGACTGTGGATGAGGTCCCCTCATCCGGGCACTTCATCAAAAGGCTGTGGGGAAGCCCACACCCAGAGCACAAGTTCTAGAGGGCATGGGCTTACACTGACATCGGGGTAAGTCAAATATCCTTATGTGTTTGCACGTGGTTCAAACACTGCTGCAGGGCTGATGCTCCCAAGCTCTTATCCTCTCCTACCACTATCCAGCTCTGTACAATATAACATCCTAGAGGGTCAAAAACTGCATTTGCAGTCTCATACAACTGTTATTTCTCACTACTCTGCTTCAGAGACTGCAATAGAAAAAAAAGAGACACACACACACACACACTCATATGAAAATACTATTTCCTCTCACATAAATATGAGTACTGCAGATAACTGGACAGAAATAGTCTGGCTGAAAGAGCAACTGCTCCAAGTCCTCTGCAGACAGGTCCTCGGTATAGACTCTTGCTCTGAGGGCTCCATGCGGCTGACATGGGATCTATCAGAACACATCATACTAACCATGGACAACACCAACAGGCTAAGGCACTGACAAAGTTGAGAAAAAGGAGTTCTCTAGCCAGACAGTTTTTGACCGATGACAGAATACTCTCAACATATCCAACTCTATCCAACTATATATTCAACCGTCTTCAATATTCAACTGAATACCCTCAACTGGATGCTTCACTGTGACAAGATTCACCCAAGAGACAAACAGGTAAGCACCAACTCAAGCAGACCTCACAGGTCCCTCAGACAGTGGGAGGCAGGATGAGAGCAGCTGCTGTCCATTTTCAGCCTTGGGTCAAATTCTGATTTTTACATTTTAACAACAAACATAATCAACATTTGTAAAAGCAAACCATCAGCAAGGTGGAGCTATTAAGCCATTTTCCAGCTTATGAAAACTGAATTGTCACCATGATCTAATGGTTTTAATATATTACTATATACCTATGTGTAATTATGGATGCCTGATGGCTGTTTTAAACCAAAGGCAAATCCTCAAAGAAAGCTTACCTGGGGAAAACACATGTTGTCATCTCCTTAAATTCATTTAAGTCCTAAAAAACAAGAACGTGACCTGTTATGATTTTACTGGTATATCTGCAATATTTAAAACAAATATTTCAAGTCCCATGGTTCTCTTCTCAAATCATGATACCAACACAGGCCCTTGAAGCTAAACTGTCAGGCCCATTTCTCACTAATATCTAAAAATTTTGGCAATTCCTCACTGATTGGGAATCATATGACCTGATACTAAAATTCTGCATAAACAAAATAGATATATGAGCATTTTATGGCTGAAACAGAAGAGTTTGGGGAAAAGGGTTTCTATTATATGTAGAAAACTATCAGTAATAATACTTCTATTACACAACTCACCATAAAGTGAGACATGTAGAATTATTTAAATAAAATGGTTCACAGTACCTTGTGATAAAGCATAATGGACAAGAATATGAAAAGGAATATTTATGTTTAACTGAGTCACTTTGCTGTACCGCAGAAATGAACACACTACAAATCAACTATACTTCATTAAAATTCTTAAAAAAATAAAATAAAGTGGTTCATGCAGGAAATGGACATACTGTAAATTGGATCATACTTTTAATGGAAACACCATTGAAACATTGGTTAAAATGGCCACTAAAACACAGACTTTCCAATACACATGATTCTTGCTTTAACTACTTGGAAAATTGCTTAAGTGGCACCAATAGCAAATACCTAAATTAGGCAATTCATTTCCCAAGTTTATTTGATCAGGAAGTCTAGAGCTGGAATGAGATTGCTCTCATTTTGAATTAACTTATTTATATACATAATTGCCATACTGCACTGCCTACTCATACTGCTGACCCACTGTGACTGCAGTTCTCTTCAGCGTTATTCATGCTTCACAGGAAACTGCCATTTCCCATTAGCTTTTCGAGCCTGTAAATACAGTCTGTATTTAGCTAGCTTGAAGTATTTACCAGCTTTTCAATGGCTATCGTTAAATTAATGAACAATACACGAATAAGCGGTTTCAGTGCTAAGTCAAACAAAAAGACAATAAAGAGTGTAATCTCTCAGTACCATTAGACAGGCTCACAAGCAAGAAAAAATTAGTATTATGGCCAGTTCCAGGGTCAGCATATAGCAAGGTAGACCAATGCCTTCTAAAAGGTCATGCTGAATGAAGTAGCAAGACTTTTAAGACTCTTCCCCTAAAAACCTGCCCCCAAATACAGATTCTTTAGTGCACTTTTAAATACAACATTTGGTAACAGTGTATGTAAAAGTTCTATCATTTTAATTAGGCTTCTTCCTTTACTGTCATCACTTCTTCCAAAGGCGATGGAAGAAAACCATTTTCTCCTTCTGACAATGACAGAACACAAAGAAGTTACATGACATACTCGGGCCTTAGTAATAAAGCAAGGGATAAAACCACTTACACTAACCCACCTTCTACTTTGTAATAAATCATATTCTCTTTCCAGTAGAATTTGATTGAAAACTAGCTACATGCAAGATAACATTTATTAAGTCCTTACATACAAAGGCTATGCTAGGTATTTAGACACAGATAATAAAAAGGTCACATTCCCTGTCCAAGGAGGGAATCAATTAGAGAGAAAAGTGGAATAAGATGTAAAGGCAAAATTTATGCAACAGAAGAGGTAAACGGTTCTCTGGCAGTTCAGAGAAAGGAAAGATCACTCTTGGGCAAGGCAGCAAGCAGGGAAAAGGTGTACACCCAAAGAGGCATACACTGGACCTGGGTAAGATGGGTAAAGCCGTAAACAGCAAACACTGAGAAAAGCCAGAGGAAATTCATGTTGAAGGATTTCATATACCAAAAATTAGACATGCAAAAGCACACAACATTTTCTGGGGGTTGAAAAATGAGCCAGTCTGGCTGGGAGGAAGGACAAAAACGGGTCCAGACTACACAAGAAGGTTGGGCCAGATCACAGAAGGCTTGATAATGCCAGGCTAAAAAGAATCAACTGTATAGAAAAACAAAGAACATGGGATTAACTCAGAATTTAACTCAGGGTCAGTGATGTGGACAGAGCCATACATCAGGAGATTACAAAGCTGACACAGTTGGAAGACACTCATTTGTTAAATCAGTATTTAATGCCTGTTACAAGCTAAGCTCTGTTTGGTGTTTGAAACACCTATAAACACAGCATTAAATACACTTTCCTTACAGATAACTTCACTGCTCTGAAGGTCAAAAAGCCATGAGAAAGGCTACTACTATTCAGTCAATAAGGAGTGCCAGCTCTGAAATTAACATTAGCCCTTTAGATTTACACAATGCAAATTCACACCCATCATGTTTATTTTGAGACTCACAACTATGATGCCTTTGAGTCCCTGAGGGTGATGCAGTTTTTATGAAAATCAAGGACAATCTTAAGGCTGCAGAAATAGGAACAGGCTTCCCAACAGACCTGCTGTATTCCGTGTTGTAATTTTCCAAAGAAAAGTAATCAAGATGCTGAAGGAACGATGCATTGTGAGAAACGTGAAGTAACTGAGGCTTTGCAGATGTATAAATGACACCGAACTCTAAAGTAGGTATTATCCAATCCAGAAGCCATAAAAGGTGAATCTGGTGGTACACGCAGACACAGCAGTAGAAAATGGACTTGCGGACAGGGCGGGGGAAGGAGAGGGTAGGACGAATTGAGTAGCACTGACATATATACACCACCATGTGCAAAACAGCTAGCTGGTGGGAAGCTGCTATGTAACACAGGGAGCCCAGCTTGGTGCTCGGTGATGACCTAGAGGGATAGGGTCGGGGGAGGGAAGAGACGCTCAAGAGGGAGGGGATATATATATATAATTATAGCTGATTCCAGTTGCTGTATGGCAGAAACCAACACAATATTGACAAGCAATTATCTTCTAATTAAAAAAAAAAAACTGGCGGTATAATAGTTTAAAGCAGAGGCTGGAAAACCATGATCTGCAGGCCAAATCTGGCCTATCACCTATTTTTAAATAAAATTTTTCTGGGACAAAGTCATGCCCATTTGTTGAAACACTGCATTCTACAGCAGTTTTCAGGTGACAATGACAATCTGAAGAGTCCTAACAAAGACTAGTCAGCCCGGAAAGCCCCAAATATTTTACTATCTGACCCTTTATAGAAAAAGTTTGCCAACCTCTGTTCAAAGAATGGGCTGAAGGTTAAAGTGAGGCAGGGAATCCTGCCTGGAGTTGGCCAACTTCAGATGAGGAATAAGGCTGCTTGCTACTTGAAATGGAAAGAATCCAGATATGAGAGACAGCCTGGAGACAAAACTGCCAGGATTTTCTAACTGGCCAGATCTGGGGGAAAGAGGAAGAGCCAAAACAGATGTTAAAAACCATGTTGGTGACTGGGTATCATTTACAGTAAAGCAATCAGGAGAAAGAACGGGTTTGGAGACAGAAGGAGAGAAAGGTTATGTTAAGTTGCACACCCTGCTTGCGACACATGAATTTTAAACCCCACTCATTCTGAAAGCTACCCAGGTAGAGACGCGCGGGGTCAGCGTAAACTGTGACCAGATCTGAGGAGAGAGGCCAGCTGGAGAGGAAGATGTCGGTGTCTTCAACTGAAGTTCTAGAAGGCGGGTGAGATCACTAAAGGACAGAAAATATGGGGAGTAAATGAAGGAGAGGCACTGCAGTGATGAGCGGCAGTAAGATGAGGCTCTAGGCAGTCAGGAAGTGAAGAGGAGGAAACAGAGAGAAGCCGTTCTCCCGGACTTTGTGCTTTGGTGCCCTGAGATCGCACGGCTCCAAGAGTCCCAAAATACCAAGGTCCACAGAGAATCTAAGGGTTACCTTGCAAGAGGCAACCAAGACTTTTACACAACCTGATCCAGTCTACAGACCTCTGGCACCACTACCCACCCCTACCCCAGCCACCACTGCTTCAACGCCCTGCTATGGCTCACGTTAGCAGTATCAAACCTGAAGACCACATCTGCGGCTCAGCAAACCCTGCTCAGCAGTAACTGAGCAAACAAACCTCCGGCATCAAGACAAAACAAATGTTTAACCTTGCTCCAGCAGTGGCAAATATCAGAAGATCCTTTAAAATCTCTTCAAAAACATTCAACCAAGTGCAGGAGACTGTCCCTCTGGGACAGGTGCAGACAAGGGAACGGCACCCCACAAAGAACACTTTCTCAGTACTGAAGACAAGAATTTTTAACACAGGCTGACAAGTCACTCACCGCGGGCAGAGGGCAGTAGAACTGATGAACCGTGTGCATGACATCCAAGAGCATGTTGTGTCCAATGACAAGCTTCCCCTGAAAAAAGTCAAGGTTAGGAAAGACTCCTTGGTGCAAAATTGTATCAGGGCTTTTTATTGAAGAGCTCAAAAAAACAGAAAATGCTAAGTATCTTGAAATTTATGGCTTGGTTCCATGAGGATTTTGTACTAAACTTACTTTCTGACACTAGGAAAAAAATGTATAAAGATATGCAAATAAAGAAATTTGGGCTGGCTTCATTCCTCTTCTGGTGTAAAATCCAGAATGCAAAGTAAAAGCTCCAAATGACTTTGATTTCATTGATCTTTTTCTCTGATTTTATTCATTTTCTACCCAAAAGAATCAGAAGTAGTAAAATTTTTACTAACACAAGAATCAGAAGTAGCAAAATTTTTTTTAAAGAGCTCAAAAATGTAACTGAAAATGCTAGATACCTTAAACTGTCAAATAATTTGTGAACAAACTCCAAATATCTATTTCAGAAATGCATTCCTTCAAAACAACTCACTTATTTTCAAAAGACACACTCATAACAATGCTAGAAGGTAAAAATAACTTTATTAAGTAGAATGTTTTCATTTCCTTCATCATGTATGTCAAATTTCACAGGGCTTGTTTCGAAATATTGTTTCCAATGAAATTCACTGCTCTTCAACCAACGAGGTACAATATATGTGCAATAAATTAGTCCATTTTGATAAAAATTAAACCACAAAAATGTAACATCAACTTAGATTTAGCTAGCCAGGTGACAGCATTTTTAACATAAAGCATCTGGAGCTTTTCTCTACGTCCCAGTGGACCTTCAGAGCAATACTCCTTGACTCACAAAGGTAAGCATAATCCTCTGAAATAAATAATTCTATACAAAATCTCCCAAATCCAACAGATGAGCTATCCTCTCAACTCAGTGTGTGGGCCATTCTGAATATCTATACAGTGCTAAGATACCAAGTATTTATCGAAACCACAGAGAAGGAAGAAACCCAAAATGGAAGCCCTAAAAGATAAACCTAACTGTATTATAAATGAAGCCCTCGACCATACTGAAGGTGGTTGGGAAGAACAGAACTAACATCAACACAGCAGATAACAAGAACTACAATTCCCAGTGTTGGAGGGAAAAAAGTTACAAAGAAGAAGAGAGAGTAGGTTAAAAGTAAACCCTGTGGTACTAGACTAGAATCTGACGTATATCAGTATAAATTCATTTTTTAAAATATGCATGTAAGTCAGACACGGAAATATCAACGTGTGTAAACATGCATGGCTACACACATGTATCATTCTTAGCTCTGTGCAGGGAGGGGAACTAGTAGTAGTGACACCACAGCAGCCCAGGACCAGAACTTGGTTTCTAAAGGGAACCCGGGCTCCTTGGAGAAGTCATTGATTCTAGAGCTGCGGAAAGGAAAATACAAGATGAGTGTGGAATATCTTGTGACGTCAGAAAGGAAGGAGGTGCTCAGAAAAGGAAGGGGCTTGTTACAGGGGAGCCAGCCTGAAGAAGCACCAATGGCCCATGTGGTACCATCCGAGCAACAAAATAAAGGATAAGAACACTAGATTAAAATCTGTAGAGGGACCTCCCTCATGGTCCAGGGCTTAGGAACCCACCTGTCAATGCAGGGGACACGGTTCCATCGCTGGTCCAGGAAGACCCCACAGGCTGTGGGGCAGCTAGCCCATGTGCCACGTCAGAAGCCTGCATGCTCTAGGGCCCATGCTCCACAACAAGAGAAGCCACTGCACCGGGAAGCCTGTGTGCCGCAACCAGAGAAAGGGAGCCCCTGCTCCACGGCAACTAAAGCCCACAGGCGGCAGTGAAGACTCGGCACAGCCAGAAATGAATAAATAAATAATGCTTTCAAATTAACAGACAAATCTATACAATGGGGACTTCCCTGGTGGTCAAGTGGTTAAGAATCCACCTTACAATGCAGGGGATGTCAGTTCAATCTCTAATCAGGGAACTAAGATCTTATATGCCTTGGAGCAACTCATCCCGCAAGCCCCAACTACTAAGCCTGTGTGCCACAACTAGAGAGCCTGCACGCTGCAACTAAGACCTGCTGCAGCCAAATAAATAAATTGTTTAAAGATATGTAGAATGAAATAAGTTTCTCTGAGTCCAAAAAAAGAAAAAAAGAATTAACAGAAGGGGAGCAGGGGCAGCTCTTCTAGAAGATTTCCAGAAACAAATGGAGAAAGAGAGGGAAACACAAACTCGCCACTAGAATACCACAGTAATGACGGCTGCGGGCAAGATCGACCGACAGATGCTATGTCACTGGCAAAAGCTCAAGAAAAAACAGGGTTTTCAGCACCTCTAAATATCACCCCCAATATATTTATTAACTACAAAAGGGAAAAGAGTAACTCTACAGTGCATAAACCCAGCAGACACCACCTGAACTGAGTGATGAGGGTCAATGTCATGAACCATCATTTCTGTGGTCTGCCTGCCAAAACTGTGTCTTCAATCCAACGTGAGAAAAGATCAAACAAATCCAAACCAAGGGACACCTGACACAATTACAATCAATACTCTTTAAAAACATCAAGGTTATAAGAGACAAAGTAAACTACAGACTGCAGAAGACTAAGGAAAAATAAAAGTAAACTCAATGTGGGATCCTAGATAGAACCATCAATAGAAAAAGGACTTAGAGGAAAAACAGGTTAAATTCAAGTTAGCTCATAATATTGTACCAATGCCAATTTCATGGTTCTGCAACTGTATGGTTATACAAGACAGTAACATTAGGTGTCAGTAGGTGACGGGTGTATAGAAATCCTGTACCAGTTTTGCAAATTTTCTGTGGGTGAGAAATTAATACGAATTTTTTTTTTAAACTGGAGAAAACAGATTTGTTACTAAGAATGACGGGGAAAGAATCTGGTCTAATATAGAGTGTTTACTTGTTCACTGGCTATACAGACCTCAACTATGTTAGTAGTTTTAAAGTATGTGACTTAAATTTTAAATGTCTGGATCACTAATAAACAGGGCTAAATTTTTATCACGGTATGCTCTGTGACATGCACTACGAATGGTCCACAACTTGCCATGAATCACTCCGCAGAAGAGGGACCACAGAGAGGAAAAATAAATAGAGGCACAGCTGACTAAAAGACCTGAATTGTTTGTACAAGGCAAACAAATGCCCCCAACTTGGAAAAGCCCCCTAAACCATCATGCTGGTTATGGGAGCTCAAAGCCAACTGCTGCCTCACAACTGTTTCAGGGACAGCTTCAGTCAATCCACCACTGCTCTGAAGATGGCTGGTTAAGTGTGTATAACGTAACCAAACACGACCAGAAACTCCCCTCTACTTCTGTGTGAGGGTGTGTGCCTCTCGGTCATGTCCAACTCTTTGTGACCTCATAGACTGTAGCCCACCAGGCTCCTCTGTCCATGGAATACACCAGGCAAGAATGCTGGAGTGGGTTGCCATTCCGTTCTCCAAGAGATCTTTGTAATCCAGGGATCAAACCCAAGACTTTTGCATTACAGGCAGATTCTTTACCACTGAGCCACCAGGGAAGCCCTCTCTGCTTCTCTGGATACACACAATCTCGTTGCTGTTGATCAGTCATATCCTGACTCTTCGGACTGCAGCAATCAGGCTTCCCTGTACCTCACCATCTCGTGGCATTCACCCAAGTTAATGTCCATTGAATCAGTGATGCCATCTGATCATCTCATCCTCTGTCACCCTCTTCTCCTTCTGCCTTAAACCTTTCCCAGCATCAGGGTCTTTTCCAATGAGTCGGCTCTTCTCATTAGGTGGCCCAAGTTTTGGAGCTTCAGTTTCTGCATCAATCTTTCCAATGAATATTCAGGACTGATTTCCTTTAGTTTAGGATTGACTGCTTTGACCTCCTTGCAGTTCAAGGCACTCACAAGAGTCTTCTCCAACACCACAGTTCAAAAGCATCAATTCTTCAGTGCTCAGCGTTTTTTACGGTCCAACTCTCACATCCATACATGACTACTAGAAAAACTGTAACTTTGACTATATGGATCTTTGTTGGCAAAGTGATGTCTCTACTTTTCAATATGCTATCTAGGTTTGTCACAGCATTTCTTCCAAGGAGGAAGTGTCTTTTAATTTCATGGCTGCAGTCACCACCTGTAGTGATTTTGGAGCCCAAGAATATAAAGTCTGTCATTGTTTCCATTGTTTCCCCATCTATTTGCCATGAAGCGATGGGACCAGATGCCACGATCTTAGTTTTTTGAAATGTTGAGTTCTAAACTAGCTTTTTAGCTACTTCTCAAGAGACCCACACCTTTGTTTTTCCCCAGGCTCATCCCTGGTTCTTTTCTGCCAGCCCTTCTCTCTCTCAAGGTCTAAGTGCTGTTTACCCCTTGCCAGGGCCAGTGGCTGCCTCCCCAAAAGTGCTCCTGTGTGACAAGGCTGCACCTACTGTTGAGACAACCACGGACTCCTGAAGCACTGCCTTCAAGCTTCCCCGATGCAGGGCTCAGCATTTAAGGGACAAGATGACTCCTCCAGGGAGACAATTCCTTCTCCCTAGGCCAGCTACTCAAGGACAAGGAAGTCTCAGACTCCAGGAAGTTTAGCATCAGGCAAGCAGTGTGACTTGGATGGGTAACTCAACAGAACAACCAACAGCAAGACCCAGTTTCTCTGGGCAAGATGGGCGTGCTTCTTTTCTTAAAGGATGTAAGAAACAAGGGAAAATATCTACTCTATCTATCACAGAACCCTCCAGCACATTTACATAAACAGTTGACACATTTTTTAAATGCATCAAATGTTATCAAGATATAATTAATTCAGGGCTTCTCTGGGGTAGTGGTAAAGAATCTGCCTGCCAATACAGGAGACACAGGTTCAATCCCTGGCCCGGGAAGATCCCACATGCTGGGGAGCAACTAAGCCCGTGTGCCACAATAATTAAGCCTGTGCTCTAGAGCTCAGGAGACGCAACTACTGAGCCCATGTGCCGTGACTACTGAAGCCCACGTGATCTGGAGCCTGTGCTCCACAACAAGAGAAGTCACCGCAATGAGACGCCTGCGCACCGCAACTAAAGAGTAGCCCCTATTAGCCGAAACTAGAGAAAAGCCCTCATGGCAACAAAGACCCAGCAGAGCCAAAATAAATAAATAAATAAGATTATTTTAAAAACAAAGATACAAGATTCAATTAAGTGGAAGAATTCAACACAATTAGTTTTATCCTCTAGATTTCTTTTCATGAAGGAATACAAGGTTTCAAACACTGGATTATTTCTCCTCATATTCTTTAGTTTGCTATTCTGCTTCTTGTTGGTTTTGAGAATAATAAATATCAGTTTCATGGAGCCACATAAGGCCATCACAGTATAATCCTCTTCTGCATTTTAATGGAAATGCTTTCTGAAAAAATGGTTTGGATGTAATTCAGCAATTACGATGTCACACTGAGCACATTATGACAACAAGCTATCTTTATGAAGTTCTAAATTCTCCCTCCAGACCAGGAAAACATTCTAACATCAATGTGACCAGATGATGGATTTGCAATGATAACTTGGCATTTCACAGTAAATGTTACGTTCAGGAAATTAATTACAAAGTGTGTTTCACTTACCGAATTAGCAATGGCATGAATGACTCTAGAAAACCCCACAGCATCATTCAGTTCTTCCTAATTTAAAAACAAAGCAAAACACCAACTATTGAAATATATATGTTCCTTATTTGAATGAGTTCTTTATTGCATCTAGGCAAAAAAAAAAAAAAAACAGAGGCTGAAATTTTATATCCAGTTAGATGACTTTTGTTTCACATGCTTTGAGCCCATCACCCCCAAACAAGTGTGTTGGAAATGATTTCTGCATGTACCATTTTTCTGTTTCAGAGAGAGGGGTGAGCAAGTGGCAAACTATTCACTAGTTACTAAGATAACAGTGCTAGGGTATACCCATCACTTCCAATCAACTGTTGAAATTTCCACATCCCTCAAGCTGCCTTGAGGGGCTTCCTGGTGGCTCAGCAGTAAAGAATCCATCTGCCAATGCAGGAGACATGGGTTCAACCCCTGGGTCAGAAAGATCCCCTAGAGGAAGAAATGGCAACCCACTCCAGTATTCTTGCCTGGGTAATCCCACGGACAGAGGAACCTGGTGGGCTATATATAGTCCATAGGGTTGCAGAGTCCAATACAACTTAAGGACTAGATGAGAAGTTGCTTTATAAACAGGGACTTTTAAAAGCTGCCACCTGCTGGCCAAATCAATACTGCATTCCATTCTGAGGAGAACCACTCAGACCAACTGTTAAATCAAGAATTCTGTTTTTTTTTTTTCCAGAGTGAGTGCTTAGTTGCTCAGTCGTGTCAGACTCTTTTTGACCCCGTGAACTGTAGCATACCAGGCTCCTCTGTCCATGGAATTCTCCAGGCAAGAATACTGAATACTGGAGTGGGTTGCCATTCTCTTCTCCAGGGGATCTTCCCAACCCAAGGATCAAACCCAGGTCCTCCTGCGCTACAGGATTCTTTACCAACTGAGCCACCGGGGAAGCCCCACCCCCACCCTGCCATCTTTTTTCCTGGTCAAATGCATTTTTATAAAATTTTTATAGCATCACACTGAGATGCATTCCCACTCAGCTTCTTCTCTCCTGTTTTCTTCATGACGGTGCCTAAACAGACTCAATTTCTTTCCTATCTTGAAATCCTTTACTTAACTCTAAACTCTAGAGAACCATTCTCCTTCTTCTCTCTTCACAGCTAAATTACTTAATGACTCTTCTCCTGGGATGTCCCTGGCCCAGGGGTTAAGACTGTGCTTCCATTGCAACGGGCATGGGTTCTATTCCTCAGGGAACTAAGATTCTGCATGCTGTGTGGCATGGTCAAAAATTTAAATTAAAAAAAAAAAATCACTAGGTCCAGTTTAATTCCCAGGAACCTACAAGTCCCCTGCTCTCCCACTTCACCCTCACTGAAATTGTTTACCTCCTTAAACTACTCTTGAGTCTGAAAAGCACTGGTGGTTTTGTGGAGAAATTGGAACACTTGTACTTTGTTGGTGGGAATGTAAAGTGGTACAGTCACGTGGGAAATAGCATGGTAGTCCCTCAAAAAATTAAAAACAGAATTATCATATGATCCAGCAATTCCACTCCTGGGTATATGCCCCAAAGAACTGAAAGCAAGGACTCAAGAGAGTCCTTGACAACTATGTTCAGAGCAGCATTAGTCACAAGAACCAAAAGACAGAAGCAACACAAGAGTCCATAAACAGGTAAATGGACAAACATAATGTGGTACACAGAATATTATTCAGACTTTAAAAAGAAAGGAAATTGTGACGCATGCTACAATAAAGATGAACCCAAAATGCCATTACGCTAAATGAACAAAGCCAGTAACAGAAAGACAAATACTATCCGATTCCACTTATGTGAGGCATTGAGAGGAGTCAAATTCATGGACAGAAGGTAGAAAGGTGGGTCCCAGAGGCTGGGAGGAGTGGGAAGTTATTAGCTAATGGGTATAGCGTTTCAATTTTGCAGGATAAAAATAGTTCTGGAGATGGATGGTGGTGATGGCTGTAGGACAATGTGAATGTCCTTAACAGTACAGAACTGAACACTTCAAAATGGCAAAGATGGTAAATTTCATGTTACATATTTTACCAGAATTAAATCTTTTAAAACAATATTTTTTTTAAAAGAAAAAAAAAAACCTATTCCCAAAGCTAAGCCCCTCTGGAGGAGGGCATAGCAACCCACTCCAGTATTCTTGCCTGGAGAATTCCATGGACAGAGGAGCCTGGTGGGCTACAGTCCATCAGGTCGCAAAGAGCTGGACATGAAAGACCGCTTAACACTTCCACTTCACTTTCTCCTGTTTAAGGCCACTGGTGTCTCTTAGCTGGTTACTCTTCAGCTTAACTCATTTTCCTGCTCAAAACCATTCTCCAGAGGAGAGGTTCCAACGTAACTATGAGCATGCATCTGTAGGCCCATATCATCTCAACTTTGTTTTAGGAAAACTAGTTAACCGGGCCTGAATTTAGCCACAGTGACATCACTTAATGGGCCGAGATGCTCAGTGACACAAAGTCTGAATGATAACCACTAACTCTTGCTCTGAGATGGCTTCACGGAGGTGAAGACAGTCCACTGCGGTGCCACCCTCACTTTGCTGGCTACGTCTAAATACCTACCCTCATTCTCTTTCAGGTTTTGCTATGAATTCAATTCTTCTATGGTAGAAAATGATTCACTAAATTGAATCTAACACAGGCTCTACAATTCTTTTGGCATTTCTCACCCAAAGGAAATGAGTGTAGTTCAATCACCTGTTCCTTAGCGTGTTTCTGCTGCTCTCTTCTTCTGCGTTCTTCTTCATCTACTTTGCTGATAACAATATATCGCTCTTTCTATAAGACATAAAGCAGATATTCAATTTTCTGGAAGCTACCTGACCCTCCTCACCCTCTTGAAATTCAGGTTCTGCCACCATTAGAAGTTATAATTTTTTATCAGTGCACAGTCTTTCAGGGGAAAAACACATTCAAAGTATCTTGAAATGCCACCGAAGTTGAGTTGTTGCTTTACAAACTAGAACTCGTCTCCATGTTTCCACGACATTTTCCTATGATTTATTAATTCACCCCAACAGAGTCAATTATAAATATCAAGAGACTCTGAGAGTAAGACACTCCATAATGGACACTAAGATGTTGTATTTGAACATGGATTTCAAAATAGTTGGTTTTAAAATAAAAATTCTATGTAACCCATATAAATTTAAATCATTATATTATATACCTAAAACTAATACTGTAAGTCAACCATACCTCAATTTTAAAAATTTCTGTATCATATCTTATTAACATAAGAGAAAAATCCTGGATTTTCCAGTAACTTGTCGGATAACTAGCATCTTCTTTCTCACACTGCATTCTGGATCAGTCAAACACCACAAAATCTCCTGTGTCAAAGTTTGAGATTTATCTTCTAGCAAGATTTAATACATAATCTCTTACTTAATTATACATCTCACTTAAGAACAAGAACCAAATTCTAAAATTCTATAGTTCTGTCAAAGGAACCCACCATCAGCCCACCATTACCCATTTAGGTTCTATCACTGCTCTCTGGGAATACATGATGACAGCATGCTGATGCCCTAGATTCTAAAACCTAATTTTAGTGGCCCGTGTAACAAGAAGCAATTACTCCAGGAGTACTATGCATACCAGCTTTCTGTGACAATGAGAACATGTACTAACATTTGCATGCTCTCAAGTTTACAAAGTTCAGTTCCATCTACTACTTTTTAAAAAGCTGTGAGACAGTAGAGCTCATCATTACCATGTCATGAATGGATTTACAAATGAGGAAACTGAAGCTGGCAGTGGGGAAATGACTTGTCCAATGTCACCCTGCTCATACGTATGGGAGTCAACTCTGATTTTCAACTTCTTGATCTGATTGCACTTTGTATTTGACTATTGTGGCACTGGTTCACTGCATTTAATGTTGGCCCTGGATAAGCCTTGGGGTTACCTTTTCAGTTTCTAAAGTCTCAACATGAATGCCTTTGGGATACCTAAAGAAAAGAAAGAAAACGTGCTTATCAGTAGATGCGATAATGACAGCTAAGACCCTAAAGTACTTTTAAAACAACTATATAGCTATAATTTCATTACATCAGTTTTATTAAGTATGCAATAAATATTACTACAAGGAAGACTGTAGAGTAAGCCTATTCCATAATATTTCAGTTTCCAAATGTTTCCCTATCTCTGCTCTTAGAATACAGCAATGTATCTCATTTCAAATTAAGTTTTTAGGACTTAGGCAGTTTCTGAAATGTCAGGTATCATATAATACAGTCACCACATTACCTCACAGTCAAATCTTGCTTCTAAATGTCACAATGCTTACTTCCTAAGTGAAATTTTGAAGGTCTCTTTGGATGGTTTGGGGCATACACAGGGGAGGTTTGAGATGAGTAACTCTGTGGTAAGCTTGCACAGTAGTTGGCATCTGCCAAGGAGAGGAATCTGGAATCCATGGGAAGTATGTTGCAAGGATAACATGAGAGGAAAGGAGTTTGATCAAATAATAATGGCCCTTTTCCTGGTCTGGTCAAAATAAATTCACTGGCAGATTCTAACGAAAGAACAAGAACCCCAAACAAAGTCAAGTGCAAACATCCATCTCTCCAATCCTGACCTTCAACTGCTAAATTAAGAGATTCACTTGAAAATATAACTAAACTAATGGAAACACCTCCAGAAAAAAACACATACAAAATTTTGGATATTTCAGGAGATTCACAGGCCTCCTGAAACCCACCCATGGTCTAATCCCTGCTTTAGAAAAAGCATTCACCTTTCATTTAATCTACTTTATTTCAGTATTTCTTATAAACAGCAAAAGTATGAAATTAAAAATTTTGTGTACAATGCTACTGAAATATAGTAAAGAAGGCAGCCTAATATAATTAAATATTTTAAGCTGCATAAATTAAATGACAAGAATCTAAGTAAAAATTATCCTGTTTCAAAAAAGAAAAACAAAGAGCATTCACCTGAGTATTTCCCAGGTCTTAAAGCCAAATCTTTATTATATACCTTCAAAGATACTACATATACCTTCATATTCCTTCAAATAATACTTCAATTTAGGATATGCCAAATTGATCATTAAAAGAAAACTGTAAAGCCTTTACAGCAGCTACTAAGAGGCAAGAGCAAATAAACTAAGCGGGTATTTAACTTAAGAAATTGGGGGGAAAACAGTAACAAAATAAAGCACTGCCCAAGAACACAGTATGGTCAAGTCACCAAAACCAGCAGAACATCAAGAATGAAATAAAGGCTAAAAAACTGCTTTTAATTTTTTAATCCTGGGTCCCTCACAGAGCCCTCATGTATAATATAAACACTTACTTCCAGCTCAAAGTCTGATAAATCAGTTTTCTTTGGAACCTACGAAAACAAATGAAAAGGTATTAATTTGCAATCATTGTAGGAAAATTCAAACTGACCAAGCACTGGCTGGGAAAGACCACTTAAGTTTGAAAAGAGGCTTCATTAGAACTGACAGTTAACATGCAAAAAAGAACAGAGAGGATGCTTGAGGTGGGAGGATTCCTCACCACTTTTCTTCATCAAAATGTTCTTTACTGGGACTTCCCTGGTGGTCCAGTGGTTAGGAATCCACTTTTCAATGGAGAGGACTCGGGTTTGATCCTTAGTCGGGGAACTAAGTTCCTATATGCCAAGGGGCAATTCAGTCCACACACCACACAAGCTGCGAGACAAGCCCATGTGCCACAACCGTGTCACGACACAGCCTAATTAATGAACTGAACATGAAAGTGAAAGTCGCTCCGTCATGTCCAACTCTTCGCGACCCCATGGAACGGTTCATGGAATTTTCCAGGCCAGAATACTGAAGTAGCCATTCCCTTCTCCAAGAGAACTAATGAATTGAAAATGCTCTTTATCACTGCTATTATTATACTGCCTTTATAAAAGAGGCAGAAGTCCTTATCGAACCAAAATATTACCTCCTGTGGCTGTATGAAGAGAATTTTAAGTAGACAGATGCATTAAAACACTTCTGTGAAGCTAGTCACAAAGTAGAAGGAAGGAAGGCAGGCTGTTTCAGTTACTGACTCTTTGAAACACTGATGCTTTTTACTGCAGGGAGAAATGAAAAGGACAGAAATAGCCTAACAATGGACTCTGCTCTTCTCAAGTCTTTCTGTATGAAGCACACATCAAGACTACAATAATTACGCCACTCTTGAGCATGTCTTAAAGCAAAGGTGCACAACAGTTTTCTTCCCTCCAGGACAGGACAAAGCACTCATTCAGTGTCTCAATATATCATGGTCTCCACTGCGTTAACACTAAAGTTAGTGCCAAAATCTTGGGAACATACCTATAATAAAAAGACTATTTATGAATGTTTTTAAGAGACTAAGAAGAGCACATGCCAGAAATCATCTACCTTTCCCAAAAAAGAACAAGTGAAAATATTCAAGGCAACTGACCCAGTACATGGCTCTAAATCCAAGTTCTTGTTCTCTTCACTTTGTAATAAATCTTCTATTTTCTTTCTGAAGAATTAGAATAAAAACATGACCATCAGCATCATTAAGGAACGAAGTCATCCATCAACATACTCAACCAACATACTCAACCACCATACTCAAAAGCAGTAACATATGACAATGTAATTTTACCAAATCATAACTTTTTAGTTCAGTAAGGCTTAAAATACTTTACTTTGGCAGATTCTTTTTGTCGTTGTTATTAATGAGTTAGTGACAACTTCTCAAGGATTCACTGATACAAGTGATTTACATTTTTACTTTCCTAGTCAAGTAGTTTTGTTATTCAAGTCGCCAAGTCTGTTGTTCAGTCGCCAAGTCATGTCCAAGTCTTCTGAACAACATGGACTGCAGCATGCCAGGCTTCCCTCTCCCTCACCATCTCTCAGAGTTTGCCCAAGTTCATGTCCATTGAATCAGTAATGCCATTCAACCATCTCTTCCTCTGTCACCCTCTTCTCCTTCTACCTTTAATCTTTCCCAACATCAGGGTCTTTTCCAATGAGTCAGCAGTTATACTGATAACTAAACTAAGCCAAACCAGATGCTCCTCCCGTGGCACATTTGCTTGTCAGAAACTTCACCACAACAGAAAAAAAAACACAGATACGTTGCAATATCTGGATGGGCCTCTGCCTTTGGGGGAACAGTGGCTGTCAGGCCTGTGGTCCACAGAAGAGGTCTGCCCCCTTGCCAAGGCAGTCTCAGGCCTGGTGACACATGGCAATTCTGCACACAGTACACAGAACTCCATTTACAACTGACAGCAGATGGTTGGATGGCATCACCAACTCAATGGACATGAGTCTGAGCTAACTTCAGGAGACAGTGAAAGACAGAAAAGCCTGGCATGCTGCAGTCCATGGGGTCACAAAGAGACAGACACAACTCAGCGATTGAACAACAACATATAACACAAACTCAGGTATGCCACAATTAAATTCTGCCGTCACATCACCCTTCTGTGTGCGCTGTGTGTGGGTATCACAAGCCTGAGACATAGGCATCGATCTTGCCCCAAGACACACATCTCATCGCACGTCTGGTTTCAGCTTAGGAACTTACACCACTTGGTCAATAAACTTCTTCTGATCGTCAGGAATTGTCACGGGACACTTCGAAGTGTTCGGAGACGTGTAGGACAGAGCACCTGCACCATTGGACTGCGAACGCTTCTCATCATACTGCTCTCTTAACTGCCTTTCTTCTTCCTGGTTTAAGTACGGAATTCCTGAACAGAATTTTTAAAAGTGTGCATTAGCAGATGTCACTGTTTATCATAAAAAATTTTGTAACAAACCACAGAGTCTAAAATACTTGGGAAAGACCATATTTGACTATAGCTCAAAAAAAAAAAAATCAATGGAAAGAGCAAGTGATTTTGAAATGTATGTGTCTTATTTCATTCACTCCATGTGCTCATTCATTCATTCATCTCTCAATAAATTGTGATTTGGCATGTACACTGTGCCAGGCACCATACCAGGTGCCAGTGAGCTAATGATGAACAAGGTAGATGCGTCCTGCTCTGTAGTGAAGGGAACAACCTTAGGATGACCAGAGAAGGCCACCAGGCGGGAGGACCCAAAAGGTGAGCATGGATCAGACACGCAGGAACTGGGGGAAGAGTATTTCAGGCAGGGAACAGGCATAAATGCCCAGAGGACAGAAATGGCTTGGACTGTTCCAGAAACAGTTCCAGAGAAGGAAGCTGTAAGCAGGAGAATGGAGTAATGTCAGGCTGCAGAGGATGGGGCAGGATTACACGGGCCCTCAGAGGCCACGGTAAGAATTTACGTATTCTAAGGACAACGGGATGCTGTTGGAAGGCTTTAAGCACAATAATCACATTATCTGCTCCGTATTTCCATGTACTTTTTAAAAATCATTTACTTATTTATTTTTGGCTGCACTGGGTCTTCGCCAGTTGCGGACTGCAGCGGCTACTCTCTAGCTATGGCGGGCACAGGCTCCAGAGCTCACTCAGGTTCAGCAGCTGTGATGTATGGGCTAGCTGCGCTACTGCATATGGAATCTTCCTGGACCAGGGATCAAACCCATGTACACTGCAAGACAGATTCTTAACCACTAGACCAGCACGGAAGCCCTGCTCCATGCTTTTAAAAGACCATCTGGACTTCTATGAGAACTGAAGTAGGGAGGTCAGCCGGAAGGAACTGTTCACTGTGGTTGTCCAGGCAGGAGATAACCACTTAGATCAGAGATCAGTACACCTTTCCTTAAAGAGACAAACAATAAACATTTTAGGCTTATGGGCCATATGGAGACCTCTATGGCAACATGAGATCTCAACATCTTTGTAACATGAAAACAGCCATACACAGAGAGTAAAATAAATGGACATAGTTGTCCCAATAAAGCCAAAAGCTACCTCCTGGACATATTAAATCATTTAGGGATGTACATATAAATGAAGAGCTACAAATAAAAGGCTAAAGCTTAGGAGAAAGGTGTTGAGATACAAATTCAGGTGTCATCAGGATGAAGGGGGGCATTACAAGTCATGGGACAGTTAACAAACTGTGGAACCAATGATGAAGTTAGAAAATCATGATTTGTCAGCAATAATAACTGTCTCAAGCAAGACTCATCAGTGGATGCTAAACTAATTGAAGAAGTCTGATCAACATTCCAAACACCAAAAGCTGCACAACAATATGCATGTACTTAATACCAGCCAACTGTATACTTAGAAATGGTTAACAGATGATGTACTGTAGGTGTGTTTTTCTAAAAGTAAACAGAAAAGCTATAATCATCAGTAACTCGGCTCACTGGTGTCATGTTCTCCTGATATGATGTACTGAGCAGCACACATCTGCAGTGTCTCTGCCTGAGACGAATGGATGCCTCTGGACTTGGCTGCTGCTACTGCTGCTGCTAAGTCGCTTCAGTCGTGTCCGACTCTGTGAGACCCCATAGATGGCAGCCCACCAGGCTCCCCCGTCCCTGGGATTCTCCAGGCAAGAACACTGGAGTGGGTTGCCATTTCCTTCTCCAACGCATGGAAGTGAAAAGTCAAAGTGAAGTAGCTCAGTCATGTCCGACTCTTAGCGACCCTATGGCCTGTAGCCTACCAGGCTCCTCCGTCCATGGGATTCTCCAGGCAAGAGTACTGGACTTGGCTGAGGAAACATCAAAAAAGTCCCAACTGAGGGGCATGCCACAAACTAGTCTCCACTACAAAATACTGTCAAGGTACTCTAATCAAAGACAGACTGAGAAATTGTTCTGGACTGTAAAAGAGCAAAGAGATATGACAGCTTAAATGCAGCGTGTGAGCCCAGACTGAATCTGGATGGGGAGTTTTTCTCTTTTACTCTAAGTAGCAAAACTTATATACATTAGGTTTGTAAATGAGGAAACAGTACTAGAGCAACGTCCATTTCCTAATTTGGATTACTGTACTGTGTAAGAGAAGGTACTTGTTTTTAGGAAAATGCACACTGAAGTAGTTAGAATAAAGAAATGTCATGTTTGGAACTTACTCTAAAATGGTTTGGGGGGAAAAAATTATACACAAGCATGTAATGAGAGAAAGGATGACAAGGCAAACAGTATAATGCCAACATTCAGGAAACTGGAGGGCAGGTACCAGGAATTCTCTGAGGTATTTTGGCAACATTTATAAAGCCTGAGATTATTTCAAAATAAGAATTTAATAATAAAAAGTAAATAAAACCAGGGAATATATGAGACTAACACTGAAGCCAGAGGAGACGAAAAAGAGCCAGTCAGAACGCGGAGGAGCCCAGAGTGAGGCAGGGGGAAAGCGCAGACGAAGAGTCTGAAAGCGGGTGGCGTCCGCGGAGGGCGCGGTCGGCCGGCGAGTCCTGCCAGGGGCGGGCTGAGGACCGAGAAGGACCCAGGGGGGTGAGGCCCTGGCAGGCTGACCCGAGCTCAAGTCCAAGGAGGGCTGCGGACAGCAGTCGGCCGGCGAGTCCCGCCAGGGGCGGGCTGAGGACCGAGAAGGACCCAGGGGGGTGAGGCCCTGGCAGGCTGACCCGAGCTCAAGTCCAAGGAGGGCTGCGGACAGCAGTCGGCCGGCGAGTTCCGCCAGGGGCGGGCTGAGGACCGAGAAGGACCCACAGGGGGTGAGACCCTGGCAGGCTGACCCGACCTCAAGTCCAAGGAGGGCTGGGGACAGCAGATGGGCTCTGATGGGTAAAGAGAAAACTAGAGGGGAAGAGGCAGGAATGGCAAGCGCAAACCCCTCATTCAAGATGCTTTCCTCCGAGTGGGAGCATCGCAGGCCAGAAGTGGCGCTGGGGATGTGGAATCAAGCGAGGGGAGGGTGTGCTTGGTCAGTGTTATTCTGAGACAGACAGATCCCCACGAGCGTGATTCATCTTCACGTGCCACCTACTCCTTTGGTGGTCGGGTGAAATCTACAGGCCCTACCTCAAAATGACGTTTTCAAATGCATAAAGTAAAATACACAAGATTATAAAGGAAAGTAATTATACTGAAATAGTTACCAAGAACTTTTTTTATATCTATGATATAGTAATGTAAGATACCAGCTTCCTGGTCAACTCATTAAATAAGACCTAATGGCTGGCACTTCCCCACTGGTCCTAAGACTCTGCGCTCCCATTGTAGGGGGCCCGGGTTCAATCCTTATTCAGGGAACTAGATCTGGCATGCCATAACTGAGAGTTCACATGCTGCAACAAAGACTGAAGATTCCAAGCGCTGCAGCTAAGACCTGGTGCAGCCAAATAAGTAAATTAAATACATAAATATTTTTTTTTAAAAGACCTACTGGCAGGTGAAATAATGATGGTAATTTCAAAGTACTGACGAAGGTAAACAACATTCAAGATATCTGCCACAACAAAAATGCCATTTGAAGATACCTAGGATTTCACTGAGGACAAACTTCCTGCTACTGCTAAGGTGGCGGGGTTGTTGCCTACATCCCTAACAGAAGAAATGAACAAATTCAGTTCAAGGTTAGACAAAATACAGACGTCAACTCATCACCACCTTCCCCAGATTCACAGACTCCGGAACTCACTCTATAGCAGGAAAGCGGCCTCTGAACTAGATTAAGGAGCTCTGCACTAAAAGACGAGGAAGGCAATGGCAACCCACTCCAGTACTCCTGCCTGGAAAATCCCATGGATGGAGGAGCCTGGTAGGATGCAGTCCATGGGGTCGCAAAGAGTCGGACATGACTAAGCAACTTCACTTTCACTTTTCACTTTCATGCATTGGAGAAGGAAACGGCAACCCACTCCAGTGTTCTTGCCTGGAGAATCCCAGGGATGGGGCAGCCAGTTGGGCTGCCATCTATGGGGTCACACAGAGTCAGACATGACTGATGTGACTTAGCAGCAGCAGGAGCAACACTAAAAGAATGTTTACAAAGGTTGATGGAATGATCAGCAGAGAAGGGAAAACATCCAGCAGACAGAAGGGCAAACTGGAAGGGCCAGTGCCTGACACAGAGGGAGGGACTAGCCTTCTAAGGAACACCTGTGAAAAGGCTGGGCCCAGGCTCAGCGGGGAGACTTCTGGGTCTGGTGGTAAGAACACAAACTGGCTCTTGCCTGCTGGCTTCTATTTTCATTGAGTCATGACCAGCAGCTGAGAGGGAGGCCTAGAGAGAGATGGTAAAAATACTGATATCGTAGAAAGTCAGAAAGGGAATTTCTAAGTCAGAAAAGTAGGATTTCTGAGCATGATGGAGTCCTTACTTGATGCTTGTGCTCATGCATTTAAAGTGACAAATAAGCTCAGGTATGTTCCATTTTACTGCAATACTCAGACGCTCAGGAAGAGAGAAAGTGAGTGATCAGAACCAACTAAGGCTGGGACTTAGCTAGACGAGTTCAATATGTGGAGAGGAGCAAGGGGAAGAAAGGATAATAATGGACCAGGCGGACAAGGAGAGAAGTTAAGACCAGACAGTAGAAGGTAACTGACAGTGAGAAAGCAATGGAGATCAACCAACTGCTGAAATGAGGTAGCCAAGTAGATGTGAAGGACGAGAGGCGATGCTGTCACGGAGAAATGATGGAGGTGGGCACAGTTCCTCCTGATAAGACCCAAGATGCCACTAAGGGAGTGGACAGCTAAGGGGAGGCAGAAGTGGGGACTGCTGACCCCCTGGGAGTAGACACGACAGAGCTTTTGCAGGTGCTCCGTGCGGATGCTGGAGTCACCCAGCAGGAGAGAGGTAGGAACAGAGAGAAAGATGAGCCAAAGTCTAGGCTTCTGGTGCTCTTGCAAACAGAACCTAAAATAACTGAGGCTGGGGTGAGGAGGGGGGAACATTTGCAGGAATGCAGATTCCACCTGGAGGTTAAAAGAGCATAAATTCAGGTGTTGGACAGCCTGCACTAGAATCCCAGTTCTATCACGCCCAGGACGTCAGCAGAAGGGGGACGGCAGAGCTGGTTACACAGCCCTGGAAGAGCCGTGGCTCCTGAGAAGAACTCAGCTGGACTGAAGGTGGCAGGCCTACTGCCTGGCTGCACAGACAGCTGAAACCATCTGTGCTTGGGAGAATGGTGACGGCAGTCACCTGGTTCACTTCAGACAAGGAAGTCAGAGGTATGTCCAAGGAGGCTGCCAGGAGGAAAGTGTCTGGAATGTGCAAACCCTAGAGTGCAAAGATTTAATAAGGAAGAGGAGTAAAGGCCTGGGTCAGATTTAAAGCACAGGGATAAGAGTCTCAGTAATAACAGATGGCCTGGGAGCCCTGATGCAGTTGTCACTAAAATACTCCAAGGTCTGACTACAAAACTAGAAAATGAAGCATCCTCCATGAAGCTGTTTCTCTCCTTCTATGAAAATAAAACCATCAGGCTGGAAATTACACATTCATAGGAATCTGGTTAAAGTAGTTCCTTCAAAACATTTCTGCAATAAGACTTCCCAGATGGTCCAGCGGTTAAGACTCCATGCTTCCAATGCAGGGGGCACAAGTTCGATCCTTGGTCAAGGAAATAAGATCCCACATGCCACACAGTGCACCAAAACAAAACAAAACATTTGCACACATTCCATCATAGTACTCTAACTATATGTGGAATTTGTATTTTATAGTTGCATTCAGAGTGAAGCACGAGCCACAGGAAATAAAATTACTTTGTCATACCCAAATTGTGTTACCCGGCAGGCTTACCCACTAGGTTAAGCAGTTTGGATTCAAAAATTTTTTTAGCATTTCCAAATATCAAAAGCACCAGTAGATATGAAGATACAGCACCACTGAAGCAATTAAACAAACAACATGACATGGTCCTAAAGACCCTACAAGGAGATCATGTTGAGGGAAAGAGATTGTAGTTGAAGTCTATGTTCTGGAACATTTGCTGAGAAATATCTCCTTCCCTACCTCACTCAGTAACACATCCACCATGGGAAAGAAAACAGTTTACAAGAATAATTAAGTGAAAAGTAGCTACCGACCTTAGAGCAGCAGGCACTTAATACTGCTGGGAATGACAGAGGCTTTCCCAGGCACTTTTCGGGAAGTAAATGAATGGAGGAAAAAAAAACCATTCTGACGTGCTTAAACGTCCAGTGTTCATTAATTAAATATTTAACAATCACCTCTCTGAGGGATCATGCCCTACGCTGGGGATAAGGACTCGGACTTGGTCCCCCCACCACGCCAGGCTGCTGGTCAGCACATCACCCAGCAAGTTAGCCATCACAACTGAATTTTTTCCTCCAAAGACCATCGCAGTATTACTGAAACATTTTGAACCAATTTTGAAAATGCGACACTGGACCACTTGTCTCAGTGGAAGACAACAGGGACACATACCCCACAGGGAGTCTGCTAGGCAACTGAGTCACACGAGTGACAGCACAAGCCCCACCCAATGACTCTGGGGGCTTGAGAGGCCTCATTAGAGCTAAATGAGGCAGCAGCGCCTCTCCTGTGCCACTCATGCTGGACCAGGCCTTCAACAGCGGGGCACAATAAAAACTCTAACGGCTGCACAGGCTGAAATGGAAATCCAAGACCCTGTCTCAGACAGTACACACAGAGAGATAATTCTCAACCGAATCCAGATTTACAAGCTCTGAAGAGAGGTCACGTGTAATCTTACCGTTGCGAAAAACTTTATTAAAATCAAATCCTTGGCTTGCTAGAAAGTCAATGCTTGAGCTCTGAAACAAGAGTAAATAGAACATGCATTTCAGTGATGTTCATGGCAGGTGTGTGAACATAAGCAGAGAAAGAACTCTGGGGAGTAAACGAAGGCAACCAGGCAAGGGGGTAGCATGCCACGGGTCAGAGAACAAGGCGTTTCTACTCCACAGCTGCTGAACTGTCCATTCATTCACTTCAACTATCTGGGCTTCTCCCTTATAGTTTGTTAAGACAAATATCCTTTGTTACCCAACATTTAAGAAAATCTTACTGGGTGAACATATATTCTCACAAGAGGCAGGAAACTCCTGAATAAATATTAAATGTATTTCTATTATCTCACCCCAGGTTCAAGTTTAAGGGAAAAAATGTGCAAATTATAAGGTATCAATATTCACTTCAACTTAGATTCTGGAAGCCCAAAATCTTAACTGAATGTTCTTTACATTCAACATCATAGTACAGAAAAATTCCCAGTAAAGAGACTTACTAAACACATATCTCAAAGTCAAAATATATAAGTAAATGTAGCAAAAATATCAAGTAAGTAATAATACACAAGAATGGGAAAATTTTCACAAAGTCCTTACTCACCTGACTGAAGAAGGTGAGAAACTTCACTGAGCTTCTCTAATTTTATTTTCGTTTTAAGTCAGAACAGCCTTATCTAACTCAATGAAACTATGAGCCATGCTGTGCAGGGCCACCCAAGACGCAAGGGTCATGGTGGAGCGTTCTGACAAAACATGGTCCACTGAAGGGAATGGCAAACTGCTCCAATTTCTTGCCTTGAGAACCCCATGAACAGTATGAAAATGGAAAAAGATATATGACACTGAAAAATGAAATTCCCAGGTCGGTAGGTGTCCAATATGCTACTGGAAAGAAGTGGAGAAATAACTCCAGAAAGACTGAAGAGACTGAGCCAAATAGAAAACAATGCCCAGTTGTGGATGTGTCTGGTGATGCAAGTAAAGTCTGATGCTATAAAGAGCAATACTGCATAGGAATCTGGACTGTTAGGTCCATGAATTAAGGTAAATTAGAAGTGGTCAAACAGGAGATGGCAAGAGGGAACAGTGACATTTTAGTAATCAGTGAACTAAAACAGACTTGAATGGGTGAATTTAACTCAGATGACGATTATATATACTACTGTGGGCAAGAATCCCTTAGAAGAAATGGAGTAGCCCTCACAGTCAACAAGAGTCTGAAATGCAGTACTTGAGTGCAATCTCAAAAACGACAGAATGATCTCTGTTCATTTCCAAAGAAAACCATTCAATAACACAGTAATCCAATCTATACCCCAACCAGTAATGCTGAAGAAGCTGAAGTTGAATGGTTCTATAAAGACCTACAAGACATTCTAGAACTAACACTCAAAAAAGATGTCCTTTTCATCATAAGGGACTGGAATGCAAAAGTAGGAAGTCAAGAGAAACCTGGAGTAACAGGCAAATTTGGCCTTGGAGTACAAATTGAAGCAGGGCAAAGGCTAATAGAATTTTGCCAAGAGAAAGCACTGGTCACAGCAAATACCCTCTTCCAACAACACAAGAGAAGACTCTACACATGGACATCACCAGATGGTCAATAGCAAAATCACACTGATTATATTCTTTGCAGCCAAAGATGGAGAGGATCTATGAAAGAAAGTAAAAATGAAGTCGCTCAGTCATGTCTGACTCTTTGTGACCCCATGGACTGTAGCCCACCAGGGTCCTCAGTCCATGGAATTTTCCAGGCAAGAGTACTGGAGTGGGTTGCCATTTCCTTCTCCAGGGGATCTTCCCAACCCAGGGATCGAACCCAGGTCTCCCGCACTGCAGGCAGATGCTTTACTGTCTGAGCCACCGGGAAGCCCAGGAGAGGCTCTATAACAGTCACCAAAAACAAGACCAGGAACCAACTGTGGCTCAGACCATGAACTCCTTATTGCCAAATTCAGACTTAAATTGAAGAAAGTAGGGAAAACCACTAGACCATTCATGTATGACCTAAATCAAATCCCTTAGGATTATACACTAGAAGTGACAAATAGATTCAAGGGATTAGATCTGATAGAAAGCCTGAAGAATTATGGACAGAGGTTTGTAACATGTACAGGAGGCAGTGATCAAGACCATCCCCAAGAAAAAGAAATGCAAGAAGGCAAAAATGGTTGTCTGAGGAGGTCTTACAGATAGCTGAGAAAAGAAGAGAAACTAAAGGTAAAGGAGAAAAGGAAAGATATTCCCATTTGAATGCAGAGTTCCAAAGAATAGGAAGGAGAGATAAGAAAGCCTTCCTCAGTGATCAATGCAAAGAAATAGAGGAAAACAATAGAATGGGAAAGACTAGAGATCTCTTCAAGAAAATTAGAGATACCAAGGGAATATTTCATGCAAAGATGGGCACAGTAAAAGACAGAAATGGTATGGACCTAACAGAAGCAGAAGATATTAAGAAGAGGTGGCAAGAATACACAGAAGAACTATACAAAAAAGATCTTAATGACCCAGATATCCACGATGGTGTGATCACACACCTAGAGCCAAACATCCTAGAATTCGTGATGTCAAGTGGTCCTCAGGAAGCATCACTATGAACAAAGCTAGTGGAGGTGATGGAATTCCAGTCGAGCTATTTCAAATCCTAAAAGATGATGCTGTGAAAGTGCTGCACTCATTATGCCAGCAAATTTGGAAAACTCAGCAGTGACCACAGGACTGGAAAAGGTCGGTTTTCATTCTGATCCCAAAGAAAGACAACACCAAAGAATATTCAAACTACCGCACAATTGCACTCATCTCACATGCTAGCAAAGCAATGCTCAAAATTCTCCAAGCCAGGCTTCAACAGTATGTGAACCATGAACTTCCAGATGTTCAAGCCGGACTTAGAAAAGGCAGCAGAACCAGAGATCAAACAGCCATCTGCTGGATCATCTAAAAAGTAAGAGAATTCCAGAAAAACATCTACTTCTGCTTTAATGATTATGCCAAAGCCTTTGACTGTGTTCAGTTCAATTCAGTTCAGTCGCTCAGTCGTATCTGACTTTGCAGCCCCATGGACTGCAGGACACCAGGCCGCCCTGTCCATCAACAACTCCTGGGGTTTACTCAAACTCGTGTCCATTGAGTCAGCGATACCATCCAACCATCTCATCCTCTGTCATCCCCTTCTCCCCGCTTCTATCTTTCCCAGCATCAGGGTCTTTTCCAATGAGTCAGCTCTTCGCTTCAGGTGGCCAAAGTATTAGAGTTTCAGCTTCAGCATCAGCCCTTCCAATGAATATTCAGGACTAATTTCCTTTCAGATGGACTGGCTGGATCTCCTTGCAGTCCAAGGGGCTCTCAAGAGTCTTATCCAACACTACACTTTTAAAGCATCAATCTTCAGCACTCAGCTTTCTTTATAGACCAACTCTCACAAACATACATGACTACTGGAAAAACCATAGCTTTGACCAGACGGAAATCTGTTGGCAAAGTAATATCTCTGCTTTTTAATATGCTAAAAAGAAACTGAAGAGCCTCCTGATGAAAGTGAAAGAGGGAAGTGAAAAAGCTGGCTTAAAATTCAACATTCAAAAAACAAAGATCATGGCATCCAGTCCCATGATTTGGGGCTCCAAAATCACTGCAGATGATGACTGCAGCCAATTAAGACACTTGCTCCTTGGAAGAAAAGCTATGACTAATCTAGACAGCATATTAAAAGGCAGAGACGTTACTTTGCCAACAAAGTTCCATCTATTCAAAGCTATGGTTTTTCCAGTAGTCAGGTATGGATGTAAGAATTGGACTATAAAGAAAGCTGAGTGCCAAAGAATTGATGCTTTTGAACTGTGGTGCTGGAGAAGACTCTTGAGAGTCCCTTGGACAGCAAGTCCAAGGGAGATCCAACCAGTCCATTTGAAAGGAAATCAGTCCTGAATATTCACTGGAAAGACTAACGCTGAACCTGAAACTCCAATGCTTTGGCCACCTGATATGAAGAGCTGACTCATTGGAAAAGACCCTGATGCTGGGAAAGATTGAAGACAGGAAGAGAAGGGGACAAGAGAGGATGAAATAGCTGGATGGCACCACGACTTGATGGACATGAGTTTGAGCAAGCTCCGTGAGTTGGTGATGGACAGGGAAGCCTGGCGTGCTGCAGTCGATGGGGTCTCAAAGAGTTGGACATTCCTGAAGTACCTGAAGTTAGAACAGTTAAATCTGACCCTTTATAGAGCAGCCCTTCCTGAGCCGTACTTAAAGTTACACCATCAGTCTAGACTGAGGATGCTCTGCCAGTTCCAGTAAGCTCATTACCATATTCACTTTAGAGATGCTGCTGAAGACAACGTTGTTTGCATTAATGACTTCTTTACGATAACAGAGGGCTTCCCTGGTGGCTCAGATGATAAAGAATCTGCCTGCAATTAAGGAGACCTAGGTTCAATCCCTGGGTCAGGAAGATCCCCTGGAAAAGGGAATGGCTACCCACTCCAGTATTCTTGCCTGGAGAATTCCATGGACAGAGGAGTCTGGCAGGCTACAGTCCATAGGGTCACAAAGAGTCAGACATGACTGAGCGACTAATACCATGGTAACAGAAAGGGAAATGTCTTGGGGCCTCTAATCTGAGGAAAGTTGAACTGGTCCTGAGTCCTGGTCCATTTTGATCCTTTGGACCACAGAACTGACGGTGTGTTTCCCCCTTGTCTTGGCTGGTAGGAAGCTCAGAGACAAGCAGGTAAGACTTTCTTTGGCATGAATTCTGTGTTCTAATCATAACACAGTAATCACACCCTCATTTTTCTTTTCTTCCAATGTTTCACTTACTCATTTTTAATCTTAGGTTAAAAGGTTTTATATATTATATATACTTTTATGTACTTTATGTATCTTTATTACTTGACACAAGTTCTTTTAAAATATGAGCAACCTAATCAAATATACATGGGTATGTGCATGTATGCACATACACACACACACACAGATACAGACACATCATTTTCTATCATGTCCAGGTTTTCTGTGATGTGAAATAAGCAACCATTTCCCCTATATCTTCCCTTTTCATCCTGTTCTGAAATAAGACCCAGTGCCTTCTGACTTGGGCCACAAGCCCCTCTACCTTCCATGCCTGAGTACTCTTAACTCTGCTCCCCTAATACCCATCACTGACAGAGACACCAAAAGATGGCTTATGGAAAGGTGTTTTTATCCTTCCTGTCACTAGACTCCAAAACATCCTAACTTTCTCCCTTAAAAATCAGAGTCAGAGATCACGTATCCCCTTTTTGAAGCTATTTATTTTCTATTCAAATAATACTCTTTAGACTGCACAAAAAAATGTACTCTATGCACCTGAACTTAAAGCCTCTTAAAATGGTAAATTTTAGGTTATGGATTTTTTTTTTTTACCATAATAAAGAAAAAACACTTCAAACCAACAACCTTTATTTATAATATACTAAACACTATCTTTGGTTTGTTCTAAATGTACCATTTTCAGGATTGAAAAGATGAGCATAGATATCGGGGAGGACAATTTGAGGCATCTATGAAAATTTTAAATCTGTGGGTTCTATGACTCATCAATTCCCCTCACAGGAAAGCTACCCTATAAAAACATTCCTGGAGCTCAGCCTGAAACTTGCTCTGTGACAACCTGGAGAGGTGGGATGGGGGGGGGGAGGGAGGGGAGGGAGGCTCAAGAGGGAGGGGCGTATGTACACTTATGCTAATTCATGTTCTTGCACGGCAGAGACCAACACAACATTGTAAAGCAACTATCATCCGATTAAAAATAAATTTAAAAGACAGCTTAAAAACATATGTTGATTCAGCAAAAAAAAAATCCCTATATACAACCAAGACACATGCACATGGACACTGACTATAGCACTGTTTAAAATAGGGAGCCACTGGAAACCTTTCCAATTCCAATTAGATAAATTATAGTACATCTGTATTATGAAATATGAAGACATTGTGTTAAACGGAAAATGCAAGTTATATAAAATATGAATGTTATGATTCTGCATATATTAAAGGAAAAAGCTAAAATTGTGTGTGTGTGTGTATATATATGTGTAGACACAGGAGGATATGTATATATGGCACAAAAGGAGTGAAATGAGGAAAGAAGTGGCATGGGGGAAGAGGGGATTTAAAAAAGAAAATTTTTACTCTATAAGCAGTGTCTTCACTTTTCACAACCACGTATGTATTTTCTTCCATGAACTCAACTACAGATGTTCAGGCAGAAGAAAGAAGAACAGGAGAAAAAGGAAGTGAAGACAATGCAGACACCTTGCAATTCACCTGGACAGGCACGCGCTGCACAGGTGTGTGCATGGCTCTCAGGGCGTCATTCCTCCACATCCTGCCTAGTGTGCGTGGCTCACTGTGTGTACAGATACTTAGTTTTCAGACAGTATCTGAAAGTAAGTATCACAGTAAGTTGTCTTGCCCCCCAATTTTCCCTGCTTTAAGGATAATAAAAACTTTTCAGGATCAATTTTTAACTAGACACAATCTTCACCCTACTCACTGACTCTAGAAGCTAAGTTCCTTTTAAGATGTGACTCTGCTGTAGGTATAGATTTTTAAACAAGACAAAATCCACCTTAGATGGAGGACCAGAAAAAAAAAATTCAAAGATACTACCATTTACCTTATCCATATAATTGCCAAGTTTACTTACTGAGTCTCAACCTCCTCTCTGCCTTTGTTTTTCCAGAACAGAGAACTGCACCATTTGAGCCCATTAATCTCTGGCCTGTCTTCAAGTCTATGATGTTTTTATTTTTTTTAAGGAGTGGCTGGCTATCAGAACTGCATGAAGTGTTCCAGGTGTAGTCACAGGATGATTTTGTATGATGGGTAGGGTTCTTCTGACCTGTCTCCAGTTGTGTTTGTGTTGGTCTTTAGAACATACTGTCATCCCTAAGATGTCTCACTGCCACTGTGTGCATTTGATTAATTCCTGGCTAAAACCATGGAATCCACTTTTAAGGAACTGTCTTTTCCTGCAACCACTGGAAAACTACATCCATACAAATGTCCAAACTGAACCTATCTTTCTCAGAGAAAATTTACAAATACTGTTTAATGAAGTATTCTATACTCATGTGACTGGTAAATAGCTGTTAAATGAGGGAGGATGAGACGGTTGGATGGCATCACTGACTCAATGGACACGAGTTTCAGTAAACTCTGGGAGTTGGTGATGGACAGGGAGGCCTCGAGTGTGGCAGTCCATGGGGTTGCAAAGAGTCAGACATGACTGAGCAACTGAACTGAGCTTACTGCAAGGTAAAGAAATATCAACTATGGTTTATCTGCTAATTTAAGAAAAATGTTGGTTACAAGAGTAAAATCACCTTCTCTCCAGCTCCTGACATACAATGAATGCTGTTTCATTTGTTTACATCCTGCCTTATTACAGAGAGAATCTGCCATGACTCAGTCACTCTGAAGCCTACCCTCCAGGCTTTCTTAACTGCATTATTACTTAGATGCAGGAAAAGGGACAGATGGGAAGACTCAAAGGAACTAATGTGACTCCAGGGAGAGAAGCTCAGACATAAGATTATAAGGAAGAGAAGACCAAAACTCAGGTCTCATCACATATCCATATGATGGACACTAATTCACACTGTCCTTATCAGTAAAGATCAATGATCTCCTTAGCCGTTAATCAGATTATTAATCAGATTATTAAGCGAGCAGAAAGGGGAAGCTGACATTCACCGAATGTCCACCAGATCAGCTACAACTCTGAACTGGCTGTTCTAAAGGGGACCCTCCCTGTATCCTCACCTTGGCTCCTAAAGTCAGCCCTTTCCTCCTCAGTAGGTAACAGTGGTCTTTTTCTACCCTCTCTTTCCTAACTGGTAAGCTTGGCAAAAGAAACTGAGCACATGTAACTTAGCCCCTTCTGGGTTCCTTGGTGGCTCAGACAGCAAAGAATCTGCCTGCAATGCAGGAGACCTGGGATCGATCCCTGGGTCGGGAAGATCCCCTGGAGGAGGGCACAGCAACCCATTCCAGTAATCTTGTCTGAAGAATCCCATGGACTAAGGACCCTGGGAGCTACGTTGATGGGGTTGCAAAGAGTCAGACACAATTGAGTGACTATACTTTCACTTTCACTTCTAGGTTTGCTCTTTTCAAAGAGGATACACACATACTCTGCTCCTCCAGAAAATAAAGGTCTACCCTTGAAGAGGCGTGCAGTGAGAATGGGGTGGGAAAAAAACCTGCAGGTCCTAATCTGTAGGTTCAGTTCAGGGGTAAGACAATAAAAAACATCCCCCAAAGAGCTACAGTACGAAGTCATGGTCTCAAATTCAGCTCTACCTATAATAAAGTTCATGTTCCCATTTCCCTCTGCCTGTCTCTTACATCTTATTACTTAACTCACTCTCAGATCAAAGGAAAGATGGGAGTATGATTTATTTACAATCCTAAAACTGAACGTCAGTGAGGTAAAGTGATTTGCCCAAAGTGCAAAGTTGATTATAGAACCAAATTTTAAAGAGAATTCTGATTCCACGTTTCCACACAGCTTCATCAGGGATTCATAACAGAAAAAAAAAAAAAAAACCTCAGTTATACTACTAACCTGACAAACAAATTTGACATCTGGTGAGGATCTATTGAAGGGTTTCGGGAAAACATAGAAGTTAAAAGACTTTGTTATATACCTGGGGAAAATAAGATAAAAGGAGACTTAGAGTGTTACATTATGCCATGACAAAAGAATTCCCACCACTTGTTAAAACAACCTACTTTGAATCTGTGTAGTCATACTTAAAAGTGCAAAGGCCAAACTGAAACAGCAAAAAGTCCATGGAATGCTGGAAAAGGGAAATAAAATATCTGTCAAAACAATGCTGTATAGTCGACATGAGCAACAGTATTTGCAATCAGGTAGGTTTTCTGATTATTCTACTTGACTTTGGCAGAATACTTCTGATCCAAACTGATTATAGACTATCTATCAGAAGCATTATTAACTTATAAATATTTCTTAATATTTTTCCCAACTAAGCACTTATGCATCATCCAGAGCATCATAGTAAACCTATTTCCAAATGATTAAAATAACCACATCATATTTCCTGTAAATGAAATTAACAATGAAAATACTAAACCTTCCCCAAAATGTTTTCCAGCAAACAATTATTTTTGCTGTTGTTTTAAATACCACTAAATATCAATTCATAGCTGGGGTTGAGAAATTAATTAATAAGTTTGATGATTTTATTACTCTATAATTTAACATATGCAAGACCAACATGGGGAAAAAAAAATAAGATTTTCTAGCACACCCACTTACCTTTTTAAGCTTCTGATACCTTTCTTCTGGAGTGTCAAAACCATTTGTTAATGCGGTGACTGAAGGTCCATCACTGATTCCTAGATTTTAAGAAAAAAAAATTTTAACCTATTAGTAAATGCTAACAGAAAATGTCAGTCAACTATTCAATGGCTCTATAATTTCATATTTTTATGAATTAAAACTAACTGGAAATGCTCTTTATTTCACTTTTTCAAAATTAGCATAAATTTCGCAGGCTAACAAGCCAAACCCTGTAATAAAGAATTCAGAGATACAAATGTTTCAATTTGAGAATGGGCAGTTTCAGTATCTAAAACAGATTTCAAATAAAGAAAACCCTATAGATATCTCACCAAAAAATTATTAGAACTAATAAATGAATTCAGTAGAGTTGCAGGATACAAAATTAATATTCAGAAATCCATTGTAAATTTCTATACACTAATAACAAACCATCAAAAAGAGAAATTATAAAAACGATCCCACTGACAATTGCACCAAAAAGAATAAAACAGCTAGGAGTATATTTAACCAAGGTGAAAGACCTGTCCTCTGAGAACTATAAGACACTGGTGAAAGAAATTGAAGAAAACATGAATAAACAGAAATGCTCATGAACTGGAAGAATTAATACTGTTAAAATGCCCATATTACCCAAAATAACCTATAGATTCAATGCAATCTCTAGCAAAATACCTATGGCATTTTTCACAGAACTAAACAAATAGTCCTAAAATTTGTATAGAACCACAAAAGACCCCGAAAAACCACAGCAATCTTGAGATACCACCTCACATCTGTCAGAATGGCTATTCTCAAAAATACAAGAAATAACAAGTGTTGCTAAGGATGTGGAGAAAAGGAAACTGTCATGTACTGTTGGCAGGAATGTCAATTGGTGCAGACACTATACAAAACAGTATAAAGCTTCCTCAAAATACTAAAAATAGAATTAATATATGATCCAGCAATTCCACTTCTGGATATTCATCAGAAGAAAACAAAAATTATTTTTTCTTCAATAATTCTAACTGAAAAAGATATATACATCCCTAAGTCACTACAGCATTATTTACAATAGCAAAGATAGTAGCAACTTAAGTGTCCAAGGATAAATGAATGGATAAAGATCCTATATATATGTAAAGAAGATGCTATACATGTGTGTGTACGTGTGTGTGTGTGTGTGTGTATACACGCATACATATGCACACATGGGGCTTCCCTGATGGCTCAGATGGTAAAGAATCTGCCTGCAATGTGGGAGACCAGGGGTTGAGAAGATCCCCTGGAGAAGGGAATAGCTACCCACTCCAGTATTCTTGCTTAGAGAATTCCACGGATAGAGGAGCCTGACGGGCTACAGTCTATGGGTTTGCAAAGAATTTGTGTAAAGAAATATCACTCAACCATAAAAAAGAAGAAAAAAAAAAAAAACCTTGTAATATGGATGGACCTAGAAGGTACTATGCTAAGTTAGTGAAATACGTCAAAGAAAGGCAAATACTGATGATTTCATTTACTGATAAAATCTTAAAAAAAAAAAGAAAGAAAGAAAAGAAACAGAAAGAGACTTATTGATACAGAGAGTAAACTGATGGTTGCCGGAGTGGAAGAGGGGAGTGGCAGGGGCGGGGGAGGCCAAATAGGTGAAGGGGTTTAAGAGGTACAAACTTTCACTTATAAAATAAGTAAGTCACAGCACAGAGAATATAGCCAATAATACAGCTGACACAACTTTGTATGGTAACACATGGTAACTAGACTTATCGAGGTAACCAATCCATAAGGTATAAAAATATCAATCACTAGGTTATACACTTGAAACTGACACAATTGGTTGATCATAATTCAGTAATTATAATTATATACAATTATATATATAATTATATATATATAATTAAGCAATTATAATCCAGTAATGGATTATGCCCAGTAAAAACAAAGTTATGCCCAGCATGGATTCCCTTAGAAAGAGCTGAGGTCTTTGTAGCATGTACAACTTGTAGCAAAATGGTTATCTTTACCAAAAATTGGATATCTTTGATCCAAAAAAAAAAAAGAACTTTGCAATTATAACTGTTAGTTATACTAATCTAAGCACTAGATATATGTGTACACCCACGCCAAAGCAGGCAATGAACACTTTCATTAATGCCTAAAGGAATACCCTCATTTATCTGCAGAAGTCCAACCCTAAAGTCGGTCACAAAGCACAAATATTGTATGAGTCCTCTTAGAGCAAATGTCTAAACTAGTCAAATTCATAGAGACAGAAACAATGATTGCTAGAGGCAGAGGGAAGGGAGGAGCTGGGAATTACTGTTCAATGTGTAGAGTTTCAGTTCTGGAAGATGAAAAACTTCTGTGGAGATGGACGGTGGGGATGGTGGCACTCCAGTGTTAAAGTCCTACATGTCACTGAACTTTAAAACCACTTAAAAACGGTTAAAAGGATAAATTTTATGCTATGTGTATTTAACCACACACCAAAAAAGACCTGACGCTAACTCTCCAGCGATGTCCCACACCTGTCCAGCTGTTTTTAAGCAGCATCAAAACCGTAGTCTCTTATCTGCAACCCTCAGAGTTCGAACAACCACAAACCCAATCAGGAAACCCACCACACCTCTTTCGTGCTTTTGAAACGTTTAAGAGGAAACGTGGAGACTCATGCAACCTGACCCAGAAAACTCAAACAGGGAGGAGCGACCAGCAGGTATAAGCCCAGGCCAGGGGTCAGGAGGGCGAGGGGGTGGGGGGTGGGGTGGCGGGCAGGAGGAGGCTTGGCTATGCACTGCAGGGTGCCAGCCTCGAGCTTGCAAGCGAGGGATACCTGAAAACTCCCCATCGATGGCGAAGAAGTCGGCCTCCTCTATGGCCTGGTACACTTTGTGGAGATTACTCTTAAAATCTGCGGAGAAACCGAGAAGAGGCTCAGTACCGGTGGCCGGGCTTCCTGCCCACGGGTTACTAGGGGGATAGGGAAGGAGGGAAGGGGAGCTGCCAAGGATCCTGGGATGAGAGGACAAGTCCCTAAAGGGTGCACAGACCGGAGGGATATAAGCCCCGAGGGGTGCACGGGCCAGAGACGAACAAGGCCCCAAGAAGCGCAAAAGGGGAGCAAACCCCTGAGGGGACTGCCTCTGCCCCAGGCCGGGTCAGGTAGACCTGCCGCGGTGCGGGCCTAGCAGGCCGGGTGAGGAAGTGCCACGAGGACGCGGGGAGGTGTACAGCGGACACGCACTGCTCCTGATTATCTCCATTCTGCGGAGTGGCCAGGCCTCCGGCCCCGCCCGGGCCCGCCTCGACCGTTCCACTCCCGAAGTTCACGGCGACAGCGCTGGCACCCACGGCAGAGACCGCGGGGGCGACTTCCGGAAACAGCGCGCGCCGGCGCGCGTCACGTGCGCCTGCGTCATGGCGGGGGCGGGGCCAAGGGTGGGTTTCGTTCCCCGGACGCAGCAGGGGTAAGAGAGTTCCAGAAAAACATCTATTTCTGCTTTGTTGACTATGCCAAAGCCTTTGACTGTGTGGATCACAATAAACTGTGGAAAATTCTGAAAGAGATGGGAATACAAGACCACCTGAGCTGCCTCTTGAGAAACCTGTATGCAGGTCAGGAAGCAACAGTTAGAACTGGACATGGAACGACAGACTGGTTCCAAATAGGAAAAGGAGGACGTCAAGGCTGTATATTGTCACCCTGCTTATTTAACTTATATGCAGAGTATATCATGAGAAACGCTGGGCTGGAAGAAGCACAAGCTGGAATCAAGATTGCCAGGAGAAATTTCAATAACCTCAGATATGCAGATGACACCACCCTTATGGCAGAAAGTGAAGAGGAACTAAAAAGCCTCTTGATGAAAGTGAAAGAGGAGAGCAAAAAAGTTGGCTTAAAGCTCAGTGTTCAGAAAACTAAGATCATGGCATCTGGTCCGATCACTTCATGGGAAATAGATGGGGAAACAGTGGAAACAGTGTCAAACTTTATTTTTCTGGGCTCCAGAATCACTGCAGATGGTGATTGCAGCCATGAAATTAAAAGACACTTGCTCCTTGGAAGGAAAATTATGACCAACCTCAGTCAGTCAGTTCAGTCACTCAGTCATGTCCGACTCTTTGCGATTCCATGAAATGCAGCAGGCCAGGCCTCCCTATCCGTCACCAACTCCATGTCCATCGAGTCGGTGATGCCATCCAGCCATCTCATCCTTTGTCGTCCCCTTCTCCTCCTGCCCCCAGTCCCTCCCAGCATCAGGGTCTTTTCCAATGAGTCAACTCTTCCCATGAGGTGGCTAAAGTATCAGAGTTTCAGCTTCAGCATCAGTCCTACCAATGAACACCCAGGAAAGATCTCCTTTAGGATGGACTGGTTGGATCTCCTTGCAGTTCAAGGGACTCTCAAGAGTCTTCAGCACCACAGTTCAAAAGTTCAATTTTTCGGCACTCAACTTTCTTCACAGTCCAACTCTCACATCCATACATGACTACTGGAAAAACCATAGCCTTGACTAGACGGACCTTTGTTGGCAAAGTAATGTCTCTGCTTTTTAATAGGCTATCTAGGTTGATCATAACTTTCCTTCCAAGGAGTAAGCATCTTTTAATTTCATGGCTGCAGTCACCATCTGCAGTGATTTTGGAGCCCAGAAAAATAAAGTCAGCCACTGTTTCCACTGTTTCCCCATCTATTTCCCATGAAGTGATGGGACCACATGCCATGATCTTAGTTTTCTGAATACTGAGCTTTAAGCCAACTTTTTTGCTCTCCTCTTTCACTTTCATCAAGAGGCTTTTTAGTTCCTCTTCACTTTCTGCCATAAGGGTGGTGTCATCTGCATATCTGAGGTTACTGAAATTTCTCTCTGCAATCTTGATTCCAGCTTGTGCTTCTTCCAGCCCAGCATTTCTCATGATGTACTCTGCATATAAGTTAAATAAGCAGGGTGACAATATAAGCCTTGACGTACTCCTTTTCCTATTTGGAATCAGTCTGTTGTTCCATGTCCAGTTCTAACTGTTGCTTCCTGACCTGTATATAGGTTTCTCAAGAGGTGAGTCAGGTGGCCTTGTATTCCCATCTTTTTCAGAATTTTCCACAGTTTATTGTGATCCACACAGTCAAAGGCTTTGGCATAGTCAATAAAGCAAAAATAGATGTTTTACTGGAACTCTTTTGCTTTTTCAATGATCCAGCGGATGTTGGCAATTTGATCTCTTGTTCCTCTGCCTTTTCTAAAACCAGCTTGAACATCTAGAAGTTCACGGTTCACGTATTGTTGAAGCCTGGCTTGGAGAATTTTGAGCATTACTTTACTAGAGTGTGAGATGAGTGCAGTTGTGTGGTAGTTTGAGCATTCTTTGGGATTGCCTTTCTTTGGGATTGGAATGAAAACTGACCTTTTCCAGTCCTGTGGCCACTGCTAAGTTTTCCAAATTTGCTGACATATTGAGTGCAGCATTTTCACAGCATCATCTTTCAGGATTTGAAATAGCTCAACTGGAATTCCATCACCTCCACTAGCTCTGTTCGTAGTGATGCTTTCTAAGCCCCACCTGACTTCACATTCCAGGATGTCTGGCTCTTGGTGAGAGATCACACCAACCTAAACAGCATATTAAAAAGCAGAGACATTGCTTTGCCAACAAAGGTCCATCTAGTCAAGGCTATGGTTTTTCCAGTAGTCATGTATGGATGTGAGAGTTGGACTATAAAGAAAGCTGAGCCCCGAAGAATTGATGCTTTTGAACTGTGGTGCTGGAGAAGACTCTTGAGAGTCCCTTGGACTGCAAGGAGATCCAACCAGTCATCCTAAAGGAGATCTTTCCTGGGTGTTCATTGGAAGGACTGATGTTAAAGCTGAAACTCCAATACTTTGGTTACCTTATGTGAAGAGCTGACTCATTTGAAAAGACCCTGATGCTGGGAAAGATTGAGGGCAGGAGGAGAAGTAGACAACAGAGGATGAGATGGTTGGATGGCATCACCAACTCACTGGACATGGGTTTGGGTGGACTCCGGGAGTTGGTGATGGACAGGGAGGCCTGGTATACTGCGGTTCATGGGGTCGCAACGAGTCGGACACAACTGAGCAACTGAACTGAAATAACAAGTAAGAGTGTGACCATATTATCCCCTCCAGGTGCCACAAGTCCATTTTCCTCTCCTCATTCAAAGGAAATTCATATATAGTTAACTATGTCCTCTATTCTTAGTGTAAGCAGCAGTCTCTTTGTAAATGTGAAAACCAATACAAGTAGTCAAACTTAAAATCTGAAATATCTCTTTGCCTACTGGTATCAGCTTTGAAAGTCCTAGATAGAAAGTAGTGGCCACATATGGCCACTTAAATTTTAAGTAATTTAAGTTCAATAATTATCAAAACTTACAATAAAGCTAAATTAATCAAAACAGTGTGGTACTGACATAAATAGACATAGAGACTAATGAAATAGAGTAAACAGCCCACAAATACACCCTTGAATATGCATTCAAATGGTTTGGATGCCAAGGTCATTCAATGAGGAAAGGGTATTCTTTTCAATAAATGGTGTTGAGAAAATTGAATATCCACATTCAAAAGAATGAAGTTAGATCCTTACCTAACACTGTATAAAAATTAACTCAAAGTAAATCAAACACCTAAATGCAAGTGCCAAAACTATAAGGGTTTTAGAAGAAAGCATAGGGCCAAATTTCATGACATTGGATTTGGCAACGATTTTTTTGGGCTATGACACCAAAAGCACAAACAACAAAAGAAAAAAATCAATGAATTGCATTACATCAAAATTTAAAACTTTTGTGCTTCAAAGGACACTATTAACAAGGTGAAAATGCAACCCATAAAATGGGAGAAAATATTTGCAAATCATATCTCTGATAATGGGTTAATATCCATAATTCAAAAAGAACTCCTACAACCCAAAAAACACAAAAGCAAACAATCCAGTATAAAAATGGACATGCGGAGCGGGGCTTCCCCGGTGGATCAGTTGTAAAGAATCTGCCTGCCAATGCCAGAAACACAGGTTTGATCCCTGGTCTGGAAAGATTCCACATGCCGCAGGGCAACTAAGCCCAGGCACCACAACTATTGAGCCTGTGCTCTAGAGCCCAGGAGCCGCAGCTACTGAAGCCTGTGTACCCTGGAGCCTGTGCTCCTGAACAAGAGAGGCCACCACAATGGGAAGCCCTAGCATCAAAACTAGAGAGTAGGCTTCACTCACCACAGCTAGAGAAAAGCAACAAAGACCCAGGACAGCCAAAATAAATACAATTATTTTTCAAATGGACAAAGGACTTAAATATTTCTCCAAAGAAGATATAAATGGCCAATGAGCTCATGAAAAGATGCTGAACGTCATAAATGCAAGTGAAAGCCAAAATGAGGTTTCATTTCACGCCTATTAGGTGAGAAATTGGAACTTTGCCCACTGCTGGTGGGAATGTAAAATGGTACAGGCCCTATGGAAAACATGGCTTGTCTTTAAAAATTAAAAATAGAATTATCAAATGTAATGCAGCAGTTCCACTTCTGGGCATGCACCCAAACTAACAGAAAGTAGCGGTTTGAATAGGTATTTGTACACCCATATTCATAGCAGCATAATTCACAATAGACAAAAAGTGGAAACAACCCATCATCAGATAAACTGGATAAACAAAATGTCATGTATACATACAATGGAATATTATTCTCCCTCTAAATGGAAGGAAATTCTGACACATGTTACAAAGTAGATGAACCTGAAAAACACTATGGTGGGTGAAATAAGCCAGTCAAAACAAGACAAACACTGTATGATTCCAATTACATGTGGTACCTAGATGGTAGTTATCAGAGGCTGGGCAAGGCACTATCGAGAATTGTTGAATGAATATGAACTTCCAGTTTGGGAAGATGTGCAAGTCATGCTTGCACAATCATGTGGATACACTTAGTGCCAGTGAATTGCACACTTGAAAATAGTTAAAATGGTAAATTTTGTCATGTATCTTTCACTGCAATGTTAAAAATATGCTGCTGCCTATCGCCAGACTATCCTACAGAAAATGAGTTCATACACTCCTAACACTAGCACAGAACATCAGTCTTTTTACTCTGCACATTTGATTGCTAGGGGAAAAAAATGATCAGTTTTATCAATCTCCAGGCCAGTGAGTTAAAGCAGATAATCAGAATGAATTCTTAACTGGTGGCTCAGACAGTGAAGAACCTGCCTTCAATGCGAGAGACCTGGGTTCAATCCCTAGGTTGGGAGGATCCTCTAGCGGAGTGCATGGCAACCCACTCCACTATTTCCGCCTGGAGAGTCCCCATGGACAGAGGTGCTTGGCGGGTTACAGTCCACGGGGTCGCAGAGTCGGACACGACTGAACGCCTAAGCACACCACAGCACAGCTTAACAACCAAGACGCTGGGTAAGAAAAAAACGTGGTGATTAGAAAGATATTTTAATAATCCGATTCTTAATACTGCAAATGGAAATATAGCGATGGTCCTCTGATTTCTGCATTCAATGTAAGCGCCAAAAAAAAAAAAATCGTGGCGAGAACAGTACGGTCTTGTAATATTACTTTAATTTCCGGGCAAAGCTGTTTCCTGCAGTTAACAAAAAAACCTAACACCCCGCGGGAGCACCTTCAGGGTGTAACGCCCTGCCCTCAAGGTCTGTCCACCCAAGAGGAAGGGGCGGGGATGGCGGTAGTACGCCTGCGCGGACCCCCAGGCGCGGGAGTGGCCGCTCTAGGCAGCGGGGAGGGCGCAGGGTTCAAGCGGGTGGGGAACGATTGCTGTCTCTCCTCTATGGTCGCGGGCCGGCTGGGTAACCTCCTCCGCAGTCAGTCCAAGGTTATTTCCGGAAGTGGAGCTGCTCTCTCTTCCTCTGTGTCCACGAAGGGGCCCAGGTAGGGGTCGACGGCCAGGCTGGCCACGAACGCAGAGGTAAGAAGCGGCTTGGCGGAGGGTAGCCAGGGTGCGGCCGGGCTCGATTTTGGGTGTGGAAGGAGGCGGTGGAGGACGGACTCGGAGGAGGTGGGCGGGATCTCCCCTCCCAGACCTGGGTTCTGTGCAGCCTCACCCCTGGCTTTGGGGCGCGGACCCCCACTTGGCCAGCTTCTCCATCCTTCCCGAGAGCCCCACCTCGGCAAGCCGGTTCCTGGACCTCACCTGTGTTTCCTCCCGGGTCACAGTCCGAGCCTCTAGTTTCTGGACCTCCCCACGGCGAGACGGAGAGGACGTGGCTGCCTCACACCTTGGAGGGAGATGACCGGGACCCCGCCCCCAAGAGCGCGGGCCGCAGCCTGCGACAGCGCGTGCAGAATTTACCGGGCTCCAGATAGACGCCAGGCTGGGCTTCAGATCTAATTAGCCGGGTGCCTTCTGGCCCCAGGGCTGAACGAATGATCCCGTTTTAAAAGAGGATAAGGGACTCGCGAAAAGGAAAAGTGAAACCCAGAGTCACACTCCCAACTCTTGTGATTCTGACTTCATGGCTTAGAAATCTGCACTTATGCAAAAGAGAGTTTTCTTTATTAAAAAAAAAAAAAGGCAAAAGAGAATCAGGCCGTGTCTGAGAGGGGATCTTTGGCGGGGCAGAAGGCGGCCCTCCAACTTTGGTGGGGAGAAGGAGCCAGGTGCTGTCTTGCTCTCCGCCAGTCCTTGTTGGGTCCTCCCCACCGAAGCCCATTGGCCAGTCCTTGGTCAGACCTTGTAGATGGCCTTGATGACATGCTCTGAAACGCCAGTGGGAAGGAGTTTTACTACCTTCCACTCCTGGTGCACGTCCCAGAGCAGACGCGCTAGAGTGCACGTGTGTGTTGGGTTCGGTTTGGTTTGTTCTTGTCACAGCTGTCTTGTAAACAAGCCCGCCTAGGGATCTACAAACCCATGTGCTGTGTTTCCCTGCAGATCTCTATAAACTTGATGGAAACATTGTGCTGCTCCAGGGCAGTTTTTTTTTTTTTTTTAAGTTCCGGTATTTGGCACCGGTACTACCATACCTAGCTGGCACTAAATAAACACCACTATTAATAATTCTGTTAATGCCAACCAATCATACAGCAGATTTTCTGACTATCTGTAGAGAGAAATCAGTCATTTAAGCCTCCTTCAAAGGAACTGTTATTATCCTGAACTTAGATATGGGAAATAGAGGCTCAGAGGAGATAGATGGACTGTGTCACTCTTAAAACGGTACTATTTCAATTATACTAACGTCTCCAGGTTAATCATAGTCTAGGAGATGAGAAAACATGCACAAATGAACGTTACATTAGTGCACAGAGGCAGGAAGGATTAATTTGAGCTATGAGGAAGGTTAGTCATTAAAGATTTTCGAGTGATGGTTGATTTGGGTCTTGTCAGTTGGACATTTTTCACCCAGAGATGGTGTGGTGCTGTGTTACAGACAGAACAATGTGGGGAAAGCGCAGGAATTAACAGGTGGGACTAGAGTATCACCTATGAGTAGGTGAGTAGCAGGAGGTGGTCAGGATAATGGTAAAAACTCTTAACTTTGCGCTTACTGTGTGCCAGGCACTATCTGAGTGCTGTGAGTGCATTAGTTCATTTAATCCTGTCAACAACCCTAGCAGGCAGTTACTATCCATATCCCCACTTTACAGATTAAGAAACTGAGGCACAGATGGGTTAAGTAACTTGCCTGAGGTCACACAACTAATAATTGGAGTCATTGGGATTTGGCACTAGTCATTCTGGCCCCAGAGCTTGTGCTCTTAGTGTAAAAATTCTGTTGAATGCAGCTGCGCCATAAAGATTCTTAAATGACCATGGGTTTTATACTGTCACAGTTGGAAAGGTTTTGAGTAAAGGAAGGACTTGATCAGGATTTTGCTCCAGGAGGATGATTGTGACTAGAGAGAGGAGGGATTGGAGAGGAGAGGAAATGAAATTGGAAATATTATTTAAGCTTGATTTTGTTACTGTCTTGCCTCAACCTTGTGTGAAACATATACTTAGGATTGTAAGTGTTTATTTGTATGTAACAGCTCTCAGTTCCCAAACATCCATGTAAGTACGATCTGTGACCACCTAGAGGGGCGGGATAGGGTGAGAAGTGGGAGGGAGGTTTAAGAAGGAGGGAACATATGTATGTCTATGGTTGATTAATGTTGATGTATGGCAGAAACCAACACAATATTGTAAAGCAATTATCCTTCCATTAAAAATAACTTTTTTTTTTTTGTAAAGAATATTCTAAGGGGCTTCTTTAAAAGGAACATTCCTGGGCCTCTCTGCCAGGTATCTTTGAGTTCACCAAACTTCTTGGATGATTCTGACAGAGGTTCTAAGAAATTTCTGTGATGGAAATCAAAGGTTTGTGGGTTCTATTTTCAGCTCCAAATACCTAGAACTCAGCTTTGTGCCAGCCACTCTCAGGTACAATGACAGAATTCTCTGATTTGGTTCCTGACCTTCAAGAGCTCAGGATTTGGTTGGGGAGGCACAGGTTGCTTAACCAGCAGTGTGCAAAACCTGAAAAGGATTCATGAATTTAGAAATGTGTGAGTCATCATGGGATAGTTTACAAACCAGTAGCTATGGTATGGGTTAGTGGTGACCACCAGTAGTTTTTGATCATTTTCTAAATTATTGGACATCTCCAGTGTTTCATACAAGATAAGTCATTTGCACATCCTCCACAGACCCTGCGCTGTGTGCTCTTGTCTTGCACAACATCACTCCAGGGCAGTGAGTCACAGGGCCTCCCGAGTGTAGGCAGCAAATCAGTCTCCAGTTACATAGAATCACTGGGACGTTGTAAGTGTTCCAGATCTTTTTTTTTCCCCCATGGATTTTCAGACAGTCGTACCCTGTCAGTTAGCTATTTCTTTGGGAGAGTATACATAAGGTTGGGGTGATAGATACCTTGTGATCATTATTCCCTAGCAGTTGTTTTCTGTCAGTTGTACCAACAGACCTAACCCATGAGCTGGCTGGCTACCTTTGCCCTAGTGATTCCTGACCCTGTTGAGACAGAAAATCTGTCTCTCTGGAGTTGGAAAAACACAGAGTTTTATACAGGAAGAGCCTGGAGTGCTTCTCTTATGTTAATAAAAGCCAGTTTCCAACACCTGCAAGAAGTATTTACCACGTTCTCTTTTTATTGCCGCTTCTGATCTTTGCTTACATTTGGACTCGTTTCTCTATATCTCATAATCACTAGAAATGGGTAGTCTCTCTTTGGACATTTGATAATTTCTATAGTGTTCTGCTAGTGTCTACAGTGGTGTCCCCAGGGCTGGACTTGGGGTGCAAGAAATGGGGTACACCCAAACACCATCACCCCTACTTCTCTTGTGAATATTTCTGCTTGTTTATCTCCTAGGTGGAAGAGCATGCTCACCCTAACAGCCTCAAGCTGCAGTTCTTGTTCTGAAATGCAGTGATGTCAGATTCTGGTTTGAATTTCTCAACTTCACAGTGGCGCCTCTATGATATGGCCTAGACTAATGTAGTCTTATGAGGACAGGCTGTACTTGAGACCATGATTTAAAACCTGACCCAGAATTCCCTGGCTTCCACTGCAGGAGGCATGGGTTTGATCCCTGGTCGGGGAACTAGGATCCCACATGCTCCACTGTGCAGCCAAAAAAAAAGAAAAAGTAAGAAAGAAAAGAAATTTGTGTTGTATGAAAAAAACAAAACAAAAAGTCTGACTCTGTCCTATACCAGTTAGGTCTCCAGTTTCTCATCAGTAAAATGGAGATGATAGTAATAATTATCCCATAAGGTTATTATACCTCTCACATTATATAAGGGCTCAATCAATATTAGCAATTGTCATTATTCTCTGTTGTTGGGCAGTATGTCATGGGAAGAAATAACCTAACTAGAGACTCATCTAAAGCCAAAATCTTTGTATTCTTGCAGCCAACATCTCTGCTAAGAAATAGTTGAAATCGTATTTTTCAGGCTGGAATCCCAATACATTAGCTCTTCAAAGACTTATTCCTAAAACGTTCATTATGTATTACATGTCACAATCAGTGTTTTGTTGCGTGAAGACGTAGAACCATAATTTCACTGAACTAATAAGCAGCTTGATAATTTCACTTTCTAAAGAATTAGCAGTCATCACATAGTGAGGTCTTTAGAAGCTAAGGTATAAAAATTCTTAAACTGAAAATTAATGCATTCTTCTTTGATAGACTCAATAAAAATCATCAATATAATGTTACTGAGGGACTAAAGAATGAAGCAGACTATCTCAGGGCCCCTGCCTTCTCCTGGAGAGCAGGCCTCTGGGTAAATCCATAGATGAGCACTTGACAAGCAACTTTCCTTCCAGGGACAGAGTAGCCAAATTCATTCTAGGGTCTTTAGTTACATAGAATTGTTGGGACATTATGTGTCCCAGCTCTTTTTTCTCCCCCATGGATTTTCAGACAGTTGTACCCTGTCAGTTAGGTATTTCTTTGGGAGAATATACATAGCTTTGGTGTGATAGATATCTTGTGATAATTATTTTCTAGCAATTGTTTCCTATCAGTTGTGCCAACAGATCTAACCCATGAACATTTTAGAAAATGTCAGCTGTGCAGTTTGTTCATGTGCTTATATTCATGTCATATTTCACATATTAATGCTTTCTAAGATTTTATGCCATTTCTTGACATGGCAACTTTAGAGATGGTGTGCTGCTCAGGAAGTCTTGTCTCTTCAAGTGTTAAAAAGTTACAGGGTAGAGAATTCCCGGGCACTCCAGGACTGTGTGCTTCCACCATGGAGGGCACAGGTTCAATCCCTCATTGCGGAACTAAGATCCCACATGCCGTGAGATGCAGCCAAAACCATAATACAAAATTTAAAAAATGTCCATGTCTTTTGCAATAAAAGCAGATGTGGTCATTCTAATAAGTAAAAGTTACATGGTAGAGGAAGTTGTTGGTTGTATGGCATGGGCAGAAAAGCTACCACCTTAGCAATTGTTCACATGAATGGATTGACAAATGTCACCTGCTGGAACGTGATGTGGAAGAAGGGACCATGAGCGCTTCCTATGTGCTGTCTTCTCAGTTCTGAGGCTAGTCCTGTCACATCAGCAGCAGTAACCCCATTGCTTATGTCTGGTGATGTGAGCCTTGGGGACGATGAATAATTTGCCTGTGATCTCGTGGCTGGTAATGAAGCCGGGAATCAGAATCTGTCTTCTGATTTTAAAACTGAGGTGTTAAAAGAAACACTGAGGTGTATTACTCTGTCCCTCAGAACCAGGAATAGGTAAGACCTCCAAAAAATTAAGTGTTTTAAAGGCCTCTACTGAAATATTTGATAAATGGGTGCTAGGTCTGTGAGGATATGATGAGAATAAAGCCAG